AAAGGAAGTGGATATTTTGCCAGTCTTGGTAAAATAGACCGCCAGGTTATTTTGTCAGTAAATATTTTTAATATTATAAAGACAGGTAATGTTAGAAATAACAACACACAAATTTAACACAGGAGTTTATTTATTTTCACCATCAATTGTTAAGACAATTTAAAATCTTTCCCACCATCAATTGCTAAAACACAAGTTAAAATCATTTATTCATCATCAATTATTAAAAGAAATATTGAAGTCTCTGAATATTTTAATCACTTCAGGCATAACAATCTCTGCAAATCCCAAACTTTCTCTTTTGTCTTTTCTATGAATACTTTCATGATAATTGCTTGGATGAATTCTTTGCTACGGTGCCTGAACTTTTTGAATTTAAACACAGTACTAGACTGGTGATGAGGTCTCATCAATGTACAGTTGAGTTGGCTTGATGTATCCATAAATTCTATACTAACAGTTTCTTTTTATCACATTTCTTGCTTGTAGAACTTCCTTCTGGCTCCATGCTTCCCAGCCAACTTTAATCTACAAAATTTAAATGCAATGTCAATCACTATCTACTGTCCTCCTGATTACTCTTTGTCTGTTCTTGCTCTTTAACAATGTTTCTGTTTTCTTATACTTCCACAACTAGTAAACCAGTGTGTCTCTGCTTTGATTGGGGTGAATTTGATTTTAAAAAAATGCAATTCCTTGAGAAAAAATTGATCAAGTTCTTCCCTTCTCACTTGCTTTTCTTATGTTAGCATGCGACTTTAACACACAGTCTTGTAAGTCTGTTCAGTTGTGAAAAAGACGAGCTGCTTGAGTGACTTGCAAACTCCACTGAAATACACAGCAGATAAAATGTATAGCACATGTAATTGAAAAAGAAAATGATAACAATCAAGTGGTTGACATTACACACTACTTGAAAGAAAAGGTGAGGAAGGAATTCTCCATCAATAGTAGAAAGAGTGATAACAGCTTCTGGATTTGAGAAACCTATTTTCTTGAACAATTGTTTTGAGAGAAAGATTTTATAAATTTCAACCAACAGCACCACTGGCTGCTCAGTCAATGAATGCTGAATGTTTCTGTAGTAATTGATTCTCCCAAAGAATCACTGTCTCAACACTTCTAAAATCCAATGCTTCCTCACATCTCAATGACCAGGTAAAAAATGGCCATTGATCATTCAAAGTAGTGTCTGTGCATGTGCTACCATGGAGATCAAAAATGGTGGCCGTCACAAATGAATCCAACATCAGGGATGCTTAGTCACATTTATTACAGTTTCCTTATAAGGAAACAGTTAATATTACCATTAGTATTCTTCAGGTGTATTCCATTGGAGTTTGTAAGTCACTCAGAAAAAGTTTCTTCTTTATGGCTGGCTCCAATGATGAATGCAACATTTTAAAGTGAGAAAGCAAAAACAAAAATATCAGCTTTCAAAATGATTGCATTAAAAGACGTTATTTAAATGATTTTGTTTCTGTTATCTGGCACAGTTCTTTGTGATCCTGTATCACCAATCCACAAGTTCGAAGAAGGATGGTCTTTTGTCAAGATCCACAGGCTTTGATTAGTGAAAGCCATTTTTAACCATCGATCTTAGAAAGCAGTTGTATATAGCTGATAATTTAGATATTTCTGAACATGTTTGGTGCTATGCATGGCATCCATATGAAAGGCTCAAAGCTGAAGAATACATTAGTAAAAAAAAAAAAAGACAATATTTCATAAAATCTCTGGAAATATAAAACTGACAAAAACTTATAATTTGAACATTTACTTGCTATGAATCTCCCATAAATTAGGTGTGTGGGAAATTAACTCCATTTTTTTTTTTTTTTTTTTTTTTTATGTTATTATGAATCCTACAATTTCCTCCTCTTCTTCTTCTTCTATGTCCTGTCAGGATGTTGGCGATTATGACTCTCCACAATTTTCTGTCCTTAATTCTTAATAAATTTTATCTTTTTAGTTATATTATATTTTGTTTAATATTTTTTATAAAAATACCCAAAGAAAATTAATAAAAAGTCTAAATAAAAATAGCAATAATAAAATAATAAAAATATGGACAATAATTGTCTTTTTAGCTTGTATCAGTTTTTTTCCAAATTGATAATGAATGGAAGCATTTTTAATGTTGTTTCTTTACTTCCTTTATTGACAACACTATTTCTTACCAACCTATGAGTTAAAACAGAAGCTACTAACAGTACCAACTTATTTTGCCACCCCCACTCTAAGAATTTGTAAGAAATCTCTTAAACCTCTAGTTATTAGACCTTTCTCCAACTGGACTCATGAGGGCTGAGAGAGTAATCCTCAATGCAGATATGATAAAAAGACATGTATTAAAAAAAAAAAAATAGTAATCTGTAGGTGTGCCTAGCAATTTGCTCTCTAAAATACAAAGGATATTTTTCTTTGTCTGTCAGCAAATCTAAAATTAATTCACCTTTGTTAATATAAGGTTAAAGAATGTAATGTGGATGATTATTTGTTTAAAATCCCACAGTGTGTCAGCTGTCATGAACAGCACATGTGGAGTGTGTCGTAATGGTTTCAATTATTAGTCATCCAATATTTCAACAACAAATGTTTATTTTATAACCTGCAAAGGATGATTTTTTTCATTGTCATTTTATCCAAGTACAGCTGAGTAGAAACTAAAAAGTCATTTGCTGGAGGTAAGTAGACACTGGTTGACGATATTTACCAAACAACACGATTTGGTGAAGTTTGCTTTTCATTTGTTTCTGTTTTGAATAACCTCTTTTAATGCAATCATCTTAAATGCTTTTTTTTCTTTCTTTTTCTGATTTTAAAATGTTGAATTCATCACTTGAGCCAGCATGAAGAAACTTTCTCTTTTACTCTCTCTTCCCCACCCACCTTTCAGTCACTCCTTCTTTCTCGTTCTTTCTTTCCTTTTTTCTCTTCCAGTCTCTCAGTAGTAGCAAAAAGCTGATCATAAAATTTGACAGATAAATCACTCCTCCCAACACACACACAGAGGTGGGACTGGGTGCTGAAAAATTCTCACCTCCATCAAGAGAGTATAAAAAAGAATAATAATTCTGATGTTTGATCATTTTTGGAAAGTCAGATAGGCTGAGAACTTTTTGGTGCTCCTTTGTGTGTGTGTAATATATAGATAATATAAGAGTTGATTGATAAGTAAGGTCCCCAATCCTATAAGACAAGTTTTATCTCAGATAGAATAATAAAACTGGTATGAATATGAAGAAAATGTATTTCTCTTCAAAGTTACAAGTTTATTTTTCAACACGATCACCATTTAATGCTACAGAATTTCTTTGAATTTTTTGATTCCCTTCTTTTCATTCTGTTGATAAAGAAAGTTTCAGGTTTAATTTTGATTTAATTTTGCATTTCAACATCAGTATCCAATGAAAAATGTTGATCTTTCAATGCAGCTTTCAGTTTCAGGAACAGCCATAAAACTAATGATGCCAAACCAGGTACTGAGTCAATAACGGTAAATTCCAGGCTTTTCACTATTTGCACCATTTGTTGTCCTCAATACAGCCTTGCATAGTCATGATGCAAGAGATTTTATTTCAGGCCTGATTCTACAGAAGCATTAGGGGCTTGCAAATTTTCCTTCCATTCATACACCTGTAATTTCGGTTGACATACAATTTTCTACCTGCCCAAATCTCTATCACTGATCTCTGCTTTATAACTCAGATTTAGTACCCATTACTAATGAAGGTGATTGCTGTGCTGTCACACAACTGATACTAAGCATTTTTAAAGAGGACTATCTACTTACAAATATATTTTCAAACCTGTTTCCATCTCCAATATCACTGAAGCCATACAGTAAGCCTTGTGTATATAATATATAGTAAATATATGACGATTTGGAAAAGCTTTTATGCAGATATCAGTGTCATCAGATAAGCAGATTTTGTTACAACATATGAATAGTTGAAATAAAATCCATTTATCTTATGATGCTGTTTGATCAGTGAAGCATGTCAATAAATGTGTGTTTGTGTGTGTGTATATATATATATATATATATATATATATATATATATATATATATATATGTTCCAATAACTTGGACTGATTTTAGATGTGAATTAAGTTTAAATTGGTCCAAGTTATTGAAACACCTTTTATTTTATATATATATATATATATATATATATATATATATATATATAAAAATAGCTGGCCACTTGTATTTTAGGATACCTGTCTACTGAGGTGGCCAGCCAGTCCCTATTACAGATGCCTGCTCAGGTACATTTGTGATTGTTCAACACCCACAGATTCCACCTGTGGTTTATGCTGCAACTACACTGAGAAGACCTTAGTTACAGTTATATACGCATACATGATTGAGCATGTAGTAAAGAGGTTTGAATGTTAGCATTCTGACCATAAAACCTAGATTCAAATCTCCTCATTGTCACTTTGTCAAGGAGGTGGCTTTTTGATAATCTGATGATCCCAGCATCTGGTACTGTTGGAAGAGCCTGAAAACCATACTATGTGTTGATCCAAGCCTTATGAGTGAAATTGGGTAGATGAAATTGTTTAGAAGCTGTGAAGCCACAAGTAATCTTGGCCAAGGGTTTGAGAGTACTGGCTGTGTTTCACTACTGATTATGACAGATTGTGTGTCACTCAGCATAGTTGCAATATAAACCATAGATTGCTTCTGTGGGTGTTGATGTAACAAATGTTCCTGAGCATGTGTCTGCAACAAAGATTAGCTTGTCACAATATTCTCCATAACCTCTTGAAACTGGTGGATAACTAGTATATCTATTTGTGTTCACTTTAAATGTTCATTCAAAGTAAAGTTTTGATAGATTTTGTAGAGTATTCAGGAATTGGTATTTCTTTGTCTAGTTTTATTTTAAAATGTTTTATTTAATGACTCCTTCCCCAAAGCAAACTAGATTTTCTAGAAACAGCCATTTTAAATTTGCAAAACTCTCATAGTTGTAATTCTTTTCTAGGGAGAAGTGACCATTCATTTTAATAAGCTTCATGCAGACCCCAAACAAGGGAAAACATTGGACATTGGTGAGTAACAAAATGTATTTTATGTTTAATTATATTTATACCCCTTCCTGCACTTTAAAAAAAAAAGTTCAACTGCATTGATTCATCTTTCTCTGCTACCCAATGCTGATTGGCTGTGTTGACTTGGAGATCGTCAGATTGAAGAGTTATTTTCCAAAATTTATTTTTGAGCAGGAACAAACCCTGTGCAATGTTAAGTCTGTCACATGGCCAGGGGCTTAACATTGTTTATCATTCTGATCATACACCCACCCTGCTCACATTTTTCCTCCATTTCATTAAAAAAAAAAAAAATATTCCATCTTTTATCGAGTAGTTAAATCTAGGGAAATTAAAAAAAAAAAAAAATATTGTTTGTATTTTTACAAATATCACTGTTTTTTTTTTTTTTTTTCAGTAACAAACATCTACCAAGTTTTTTTTTTTTTTTTTAATCTCCTGGAATATTTTCTATATTTAACTAGTCTGGAACAAAGTCACATTTTTTATACTAAAGCTTGAGAGCCTCTCAAGATAGATGGTTACTGTTAAACTGATTACGATAAATGAGGTATGATATGAGTGAAAGAGCAGGTGGTAAAAAGTGAGGAGAAGGAGGATAGATAATGATTAACCTTTGATTTGATGATGCTAAGATTGTAATGTTCAGGAAAGCATCCATATGGGAGTCTATTCCACAAAGTGGCAGTTCTTAAGAAAAAGCCAAGTGGAACTTCCTTCTTCCATTTGGAACACAGGAGGCTGATTTGACTCTCTGAAAGTAGCATTTATCTGTAAAGGTCTGGACTCATGGAACTAAAACGTTATCTGAATTTATCTGAACATTTGCCATGGAAATAGTGTTAGAATAATGATAGGTGTGCAACATTGCATCTTTGGGGAAAGAACAGTTTACGATCACCAAAGTTAAGCAATATTTATCAGTACCTATATGGGTGTTCACTTGGGAATACCAGGTGCTGTAAGCTTGAATGTGCAGGTGATGTAATGGATAATGACTCGGGATAGGAAATTGGAGAGCTGAGTTCCAATTCCAGTCAGGTTCATTATATTCAGTTATGCACAAATCTTGAGAAAGTTTTAATTCCACCTCTTCTCCCCCCAGCTATGGGTTAATTAGTAAGACTTTTTTCTTATTTTTCTTTAAGATTTCTTGAACATTCAGGATGATAGATGAAACTAATATATGAAAATAAATAAATATACTGTTTAACTAATAAAGAGTGTCTACTCAAATATGAGTATCCACTAAAAATAACATTTAAAGTGATATATATATAGTATATTATAAAATATATTATAAAATTTTATTGATAAGACTTACACTTCATATGCTGGATTCTAATTTGATTGCACAACATTTAAAAGAGTATTCCTGTTCACAATTTAGAGAAATATTAATTAACAATACAAGTATACTCCTCCACAAAAACAAAAAAACTTCAAATTCTGAAGGCCCTTTATATAAAAAAATTGCAACCAACACTATAATTAATGAGTATAGCAGTAAAGTTTTAAAATGTCTATAACAGCAAGGTTTTAAATATTGTAATATTTTAAAAAATTTCAATTATAACAGTATATATATATATATATATATAATGTACAATCTGTGGCTTAACATTTGATGATCGAGTGTCAAATGCCAACTTTTTGAGAAATGCAAGATTGGTACCATTGAGACCTTCATAATGCAATCACAACTATGTTGGGCTGGCCATGTGACAAGGATGAATGATGGTCACATACCAAAAGTTTTTTTCTACAGCGAACTCCATAGTGGTCAATAGGAGTTGACATGCCGTTAAATCCAACATCCATCCATAGTGGTCATAGAAATGTTGATAGACCTTGGCTCAGGTATAACGATAAACTGAAAAGCAACCTTTCTTGTGTCAGCATTCCATTCAAGAACTTTGAAGAGGTAGCTATGAAGAGATCAGAGTATCATTCTCACTGCCATTCAGGAATAATGCACCATCAAGAAGTAAGCATTAGTTGACTACATGAAAGCAAAATAAGACAGCTAACAGTGTTCCTGCTGTATTTGGATACAATACATTCTACTGTACTCTTTGTGGTCTTTTGTGCAATTCTCGAGCTGGTCTCAAAAGTCATGCCCGTCATAGGCATGCAGATAATTAGTTTGTGGTCATTGGAACCTCATATGTCAAACTCAACGAGAGAGTCCATCATATATAAATTCTTTCACACCTCAAAATCATTTTTTATGCCAACAAAACTATTTTTAATAAATGTCATATTTGAACAAAAGTAAATGAATACAGAATTTTTATTGAGATGTTTATTAATCTTGGTCTGGTACAAAGCTAAATTGAAAATAAGGAACAGGATGATTGCGTTGTCGCTCACTTTGAAAATCAGTATTCACAGTATTGGTTTTTATCCAGAATCAAATACTGTCCACTGGCACCAGGGAGTGCCAGTGTGTATTTCAATGAACAATGCCAGGTAATTGTCTCTTTGTAAATATAATTGATTCGTTTGATTTTTCTCTGACAGTCCTAAAAAAGGTGAAACACAGATTTGTAGAGAATATGAATTCCAACACTGCTGATGCCCTAGGTTTGAGCAGAGCTATCTTATGCAATGGTAAGAACTTTTTTTTTCTTTCTATCTTCAAGAATCTATCTTTAAAAGAAGTGAACATAACTTACCTCAGTAAAATTTGTTCTCATGGCCTTTAAAATATCAATATTATTACCAAATATTTATGAAATCAAGAAGAATTTTACTCAACAAGTGAACACTGCATATATCATCAGCTGAAAATGACAGTGAATTATTTGGGCAAACTTTGACCTTGCCTGAAAAAAAATGAAATGAACATATCGAAATATTCAAACCGCTATGAAAGCGACTCAGAATCTTGCTTTGCATATGAAGCATTTTCCCATAGCCTCCTCAATATCAACGTGTTTTAAAATTAATTAAAAAAAATATATATATAGAGAATTACTGTATATGATAAGCTTTATGGAATGTCATTATTCCAAGTGTACAAAAATAAGTTTGCTGCTTGTAATTACTAATGTTCTTATTAAATTCTAAAAGTAAATCATTAAAAAAGAAAAAAAAAAAGGAGGAAGAAATACCAGTTGTGGTAGAAAATACTTCCCACATAATGGTAAGACATTAATGGTAAGGTAATGGTGTCTTCATCTAGCTGATGTCTTACCATTATGTGGAAGGTATTTCTGAAAGGTATATGTGAAAATGTGGAAGGTATTTCTGCCACACCCTATACAATTCTGAAACAAAATTACAAGATTTAGTTTGCTCTTGAAGTGAAGTATGGTCCTGGTATGAAATTTTTGAACTTGTAAACTCTCATTTCAATTACACTCTTTTGACTTGTCCTCTCTCTCTGATTTCATCTGAACCTTTGTGTAAAATCCTTTCTATTGTCCACAAATGTTCTTGTTTAATTTTTATTTTCATCAGAGAAATTGAAAATAAAAAAATAAAAATTGAACCAGTAAACTTATGAACAAAATAATGGACTCTATCCAAAACTTGTTAATGATTGTCTGAAGAAGGTCAGAGAGAGTACTGGTCAAAGGAATGTAATTGAAACAAGATCAGTTTCAGTTAGTCAAGTTCTATACATGATACACACTTGGGCGATCATGTCCCTTTCGATTCATGACTGACTTGGCAGATTTTCCTGCAGTAGGCTGTTGTTTCTTTTTACAGTAGACTGGTTGCCAACCAAGGCTATAGGGCCCAGACTAGCTTTAAAAAATTAATAAAATAAGGACCTCTTGATAATGTTCAGTGCATTGAAAGAGCAAACCGAATCATCTAGCAATTTCTCTTGTAATTTTGAATGGAAAGGTCTCTCACTATTACATACTTATCCCCTGTGAAAAGAAATGACTAATTCTAAACTGAAAATCCATTTTATTGTGAATGGATACAATTTGATGTAATATTTTTAGTCCACCTATCAGTGTCGAATCAGTATTTTCTCATTTGACAATAAAACAGCTTGACCTTCTAGTTTGTGCTGAATAATTTTAAAACAACCAGCATTTTCATTTTTCTCTTCATCTTCTGTTTGTATCCATTTTATAGTTAGGAAAATAATATGTTTATATTCTGTGCTACGAAATAATAATTGATAAAACATGTTGATTTGATATTTTCTTCTTTTCTTAATTTTCAGATGGGTTGGTCAAAAAACTGGAAGAACTTGAGAAAACGGCCGAAATGTACCGCGGTTTGATTGAACACGCCAAAAAGTTGTTAAAAGCAACATTTGAACTGTCTCAGTCGTACAAAGGTAGGTTACACATTTTGGAGTTATCTCCCTTGTTGAATAAACTTCCCCGTGCATTCTTTGAAAGTTCATTTTCTTCAAAGGATTTTACAGAGGTACCTCCCGCTAAAAGTGATACCTAAGTTTAAAATACATTTTGAAAAATGAAAAATATTTCTTGAAACTTTCATTTTAGTTTTAATTCCAAGCTAATAGATTATATTTAATATTTCCAGTAAGCAAAATACTTTGGAGTAATTCAAATTGAATTTAAAATGTTTAAAATCTTTTTTTCTTCTTATCACTTAAATCTATAAATTCGTCCATACTCTGATTTGGCAGCACAACATAATTCTCTTTTTTAAAACATCATTCAAAAATAAAATATAGTTTTCTGAAACTTTATTTGAGGAAGATTAGCTAATTTAAAGTTTAATTAATCTGAATTGAGACAAATATTACTTTTAGTTTGAAATATCACAGAAAAGCGTTTTTTAACATGGAGAGGTATGTTTTCCTGGTGTGTTGAGTGATTTATTTAGGAATGATGTTTAGGAAATTTAATTACAGGAGACATAACTGAAAAAAAATAATTTTATGATTAGAATGTGAACACATTTTTTATATAATCTTTTAACTACCCAGTAATCATAAAAAATTCTAAGCAATCTAATATTTTATTGAATTTAGGAGGCTTTGGTTTTGTAGCCTTACTTATGAGAAAATGTCATTTGCTGAGAAAATTTTAGGAAAATATCAATAAATTTAAAATTTATTATAGGTACTTCTCTTGTTTTCTGATAATGTCATGTATGGGTGTCTGTATTTGCAAAAATCAACACGTTCATACACACAAAAACTTAAAAATTCTTTTTAAAATATTGGTGGTTGTTGTTGAATTAGGGGTCTTATTTGACCAAAAAGATTCCATGATTTACATTATCCAATGACTTGTCCTTATAACTAATATAAACATTAAACAATCTAAAAAAATTTCTTAAAATTTCATAAAAATTAAATGAGTGGGGGTGGAAACAGATGCAAAAAATATTTTTACAAAGATTTTCTAAAAAGAAACATTTAAAAAATGATTTAATTCATTTCTGAAAGTTTCATTAAATTTTGACAATTATCTAATTTTTGCAAGAATTTTCAAATTAGCATGTTTTTCACTGCAAAGAGATGCTAAAATTTCCTGTACAAATTACTGATGCCAGAAAAACAAGATTTTTAACTGAATTTCCAAAGTTCTAAAAAAAAAAAATTAAAAAAAAAATTTTACATCAAAAAATCCTTTCATCTTTACTCTTAATAATAACAAAGATGTTAACAATAAAATTTGTTTTTTTTTTTTTTTTTTTTTTCATTATGTACCTTCTTAGTGAATTTTTGAAGATATCTGATTTTACACATAGATTCACAAATATTTTATTTTTTTGTTTTATATCGATTTTTTACCAGTGTGTGAGGTTTGGGTAGTCTTTAAAAGCCTGTTTTTGTTAACACTTCTAAATTAACAATGCAATACATAATGTTTAAAAACCTAATACAAAAAATATATTACATTTTATTAAAACCTTTTGAGCCTGTTAAAATTTTGACTCCTTTTAGTTTCTTAACGATTTTTTTCTCTGATCCCTTGTAGCATTTGGCGATGTCTTTGCCGCAATTGGTGTACGTGAACCGCAACCAAGAGCCAGTGAAGCTTTCTCTAAATTTGGAGAGGCTCACCGTGACATGGAAAAGTTTGCGATCAAGATGGTTCGTACTGTGAAGCCGGTGAGTCATCAGCTAGATTTGTTTTCCCTTGCTCTACTTTGTTGAGATAACCTTGAGGGTGTGGCATAAATGCTGTTACATAATTTCGAATGAACACTACTACTAAATTTTTGGTTATTACATTTGTTGTTTGATACTGTATTTGTTTTTTTCAAAGTGTTTTAGTATTTATGGGCAACAACAATGTCTATAGAAATTAGAAGAAACTATATGATTGAGCAACGTGAAAACAGACTGACTTCACCCAAGATTTTTAAAGCTGGAAAATAACTTGGAATCAACAGAATGTTTGTCAATAGGACAATTGATTGATATGATGTGGCTTCCTCCAAAGATAGAACGAGACCAGGACATCCTAGCACCTCCAGAATGCCAAAGCTCATAAAACATTTACATGAAAAAATCGGGTGTAATCCAATAAGGCCAATGAGAAAATTGGCTAAAAAGGCCAGAATTTCAAAGAGAACCATGCCGGAGCTATGCCAAAATGATCTAGGGATGTTGCCCTAGAAGATAACCAAGAGACAGTTTCTTTCAATGAAAAAGAAGCTTCAAAGAAGTAAGCAGTTGTGTAAATGTATTTGTGATGGCATGCTGCAAAACATCTTTACTGATAAGAAACTGTTCACTGTTGAACAGAATAATTGTGTTCATTCAACAAGTCATCAGTCAGTTCCTCAGAATCCAGAAACCAATATCAGTTATAGTTTGGGCGAAAAAAGGATGAAAATGAGAATTGGTTAACTTTTATTGGTTAGTAAGAAATCCCAGCATGCATCTATAAGATTTGTCTATAAATTTGGGGAGGGGTGATTTCCTTGTATTACTTGTGACTAAAAACTAACTTTAAAAATCTTTTCTTCTTTTTCCTCAGATGATCTGTGATCTTCACACTTTTCTGAATAAAGCTGTGCCTGATACTCGTTTGACCATCAAGAAATATTTGGATGCTAAATTTGAATATTTGGTAAGAGGAAAGCCATTCATTATTCCCTGGCCAAACAGTAGTTTCCTGTTAATGTCTTCTTAATCATCTGCGTCCAAAGCATATGTGCCACTTTTTGCCCACTCTATAGAAAAGAGTGTTTTTGAAAAAAAGCAGGCTTAAATATTTTACCTCAAATCCTGAATTTTATGACAAACAAGTCATTCTCTTCTGGCTGAATAAAATATCTAACTCATGTGACCTCATATTAAATCCTGGCTGAGCCAATACTATATTTTGCAATATTTTATGTGATGTATAAGATGTGCCCTAGTGTAATCACTTGGGGCAAATTTCTTTGCTGCTAATGTTTGAGTGCAACTCTGAATCATTTGGAAAATATTCCTTATCCAAGAGAATGGTGCTACACTAAGTTTGGGGAAAAAAAACAAGCCATTTTATGGCAGATATTGGCTTCAACAAATAAACTCCTATTCCAACAAATATCTTAACATTCAGAAATGTTATGTTATCATTAATTTAAAAAATATATATTTATATGACCTTTTCAAAAGTACAGATTCTGTAGTGAACCCTGCAGCCTGCTCAGGGGATGAACTAGTTGCAGCTTTTTATTGAGCTAGCATATGGCTAGTTGCTTGTATGTGAGTATGCCTGTCTGGTAGGGTGGTTAGCTAATCCCTGTTGCAGACGCCTACTCAGGCATATTTGTGTTTAACACTCACAGAGCCAACCAATGGCTTATACTGTATCTGCTGAACAGAGTTTCTGGGAGAGAGTGCATAATCTGGCATGGTGAAGCCAGTATGCTCAAGCCCTCAGTCACGATGACTAGTGATTTTGTGCTAGCAGAACCATTGACAGCTTCTGAACAGTTTTGTTTACCCTATTTCACTAGGCTTGTGAGGCTAGGGGGTCAACATGTTGTATAGTTTTCAGGCCCTTCCCAATGGTTCTGCATCCTGGGATTGTCTCCCCTGGCTCATATTATCACCTACCTGATAAATTGACTATGGCGAGATTTGAACTTGGGTCTCATGGTTGGAATGCTAACATTTTAACCACTTGGTCAGTGTACAAGCCAGAAATTTGAATGCTAATATTTTTTTTTTTTAGGCAGGCACTGTGTACTCGGAAGATTGGTGCAACACAATCTTCCCACCCCCTATTTCCTCCATTTTGGCCTCATGTCATATTGTCATGACACTCAAGTTCCTAACAGGCAAAGTTGCCTAAGGGAATGGAAACAGAACTAAAGCCAAAATTTGGCATTTTTAATCTTTTTTTAGTCCTACTGCCTGAAACTAAAAGAAATGGATGATGAAGAATACAGTTACGCAGCTCTGCAGGAGCCTCTCTACCGTGTTGAGACTGGAAACTATGAATATAGGTTAGTTGTTTTTTTTCTTTTACTTTTGTTTTTTGCATCTTTTGTAGTCTTACTGCCTCCGTGTGAAAGAAATGGATGATGAACAGATAGAGTATATTTCATATCAGACTTCACTGTATACAGTATCATCAGGAAACTATGCATATAGGTAAGTCCGAAGCACTTGCTTATCCTGGTTTTTGATGGTGTCGGGGTCGATACTTCTTTCCATCTTGGTAAAGTGCTTCGGATTTCTTGGGATGTATGTTCATCTATGGTCGACTGGTATTTCTGTAATTACAAACCCTTTCCTTTTTTTTGGTGTTTACAGATTTTTTCTGACCGTTTCATCAGTGGGATTCATTTCTTATTGTTCAACATGAAATTGACGATTTTGAATTGCTATTTTGTTTTTAAATAAGTTTAGTTTACATTATTTACATTCAGACTAATCTCATCTTTGTTGTTATTATCACAACATTTCAGCCGTTGTACCCATCGACATTCTTCAGGTACCTGTCAATCTAGGTAACCTTCAGGGAATTTTAAACTGAACCCTTTATTTAATCTACAGGAGTAGATTATTCTCATTTCATTATCCATATCTAAATAAGGCTAATTTTGTTTATTTCAGCAGCAAATGTTCTTTAAGGCAAATACTATTAAAAATGACAGACATTTAATGTCGATTAATATTAATGATTGACTTTTCCAAGTTATGAATAATCCTCCTTGGACAAGGAGGAAATTTTGTCAAATTGTTCAAAGTTCATATCGGAAGAAAAGTACAGGAAATATGGTTCAAGCTTTTGACTTTCTTTGTCAAAAGCATCTTTTGAAATTTGAACAAATTTTTATGGAATTTCCTCCCTAACAAGGGTTATTCATATCTTGTTAAACATTAAAATTAATCAACATAGAATGTCTGTTGTTTTTTATCACATCTACCTTAAATAATGTAAATAATAACTCCTCATCCCATAAATTCAGTCAAATTAATAAAAGTTCGTTGACTGTATTCCATTAGGTTTTACCATATTCTGTGGCAAATACAGAAAACCTTTCAACTTGTGATTTTCTAATGATTTATTGTATTTTTTTGGAGTCCAACTAAAACTGAAAGCTGCAATGAAACATCAATTCTGTATTTGATGTCAGTTTTTTTCTGCTTAATAAAATACAGTTTGTTTCGGTTTAAAAAATTTTTTTTAAAAGTGAAGATTCCAGTTCTTGAAAACAAGAGAAGGTTAGTCAAATTGTATAGAAGTTGAGTTAGAATACTTTGAGTGAATAAAATATTTTTAATTTATTTTCATGTTGAATAGCTTGTTAAATTCTTGTTTGGTGTGAGGTCTTCATTCAAATTAAAAGAATTTGGGATTTTATTTTAAATGCCTATCGTTTGTTTAGAAGTGACAAGCTAAGCACACACAAACACATGTTTGTGTGCACATGTGTGGGGGGTGTCTTTTTTTCTTTGCAAATGACTGGTTGCAAAATTATAAACAGGGAAGCCATACAAAAGCAAAAAAAAATCAAAGATGCCAATATTTTTGTATTGTTTTTACACATCAAAACAGACACCGTTTTAATTTAAACCAAATGTTTTTCTTAGTTGTGATGAAGACAAGTATAATAATTCTTTGCCATTTGTCTTCATCACAACTAAGAAAAAATTTTGGTTTAAATTAAAATGGTGTCTGTTTTGATGTGTAGAAACAACACAAAAAAATGATTATCAACAAATGATTACCAGTTTGTCAAACAAATATTGTTGAATTTGTCACCCATTTCTGATTGTAAATAGCCTCAAGTAATTTCTTCTGGAAAATCTTATTTTAGTTCATTTGATCTTAACACAAATTTTGATTCCATATGAATTTTTTTTTTTTCTAAAATTTCAACTTGGTAAATTTTGCTGTAAACTTTTTGTCAGATGCTATCAATTTTGTTTTGATATATTTAATAAAAAAATAAAAAAGATGCCAATTTAAAAATTAAAATAGAGATATAATTACAAGCAGCTCACTTTAATTTTTTTCAAAAACTTTTCTCTGTGATATTATTTATGCTGTAAAAATATTTTGTGTTAAAACTTAAGCTTCACTCAACTGGTTAAAGGAATAATACTTTGATCAAAATGTCTGGACAATCTTTCTACATCTCTTAAAATACTTTTAGGTTTCACAAATTTTATAGGCAAAGAACTGACCACTGAGAAAAAGAGGCTATTTTTCCCATGAGGTGTGTTTTCAATAAAAGAGATCAAAGTAAATTTTGCAAGAAGGAATTTCTTGTTTTAACTGAAAATTTAAATTTTCCAACATAATGTAAATAACTTCTAAGTAAATTTTAACTATGTATATTCAGATGATTGTTATCACAACATTTCAGCTGTTGTGCTTTCTAGCCTTCATCAGGTGTATATAGATCTACAGGGAATTCTGTATTGAACCTTTTATTTAATCTATAGGGGTAGACTATATTTAATATATATCTCTAGACATGAGCAGTGTAACAAGAACAGATAACCAAAATGTGAACAATAGTCCAAATATAAATAGTATAAATAATAACTCCTCATCCCAGAAATTACTTACTAGAAGTGTGACTAACCTGGCATTTGGGGTTTTCAGTTTCAATATGATATTTCATGGAATGAGATAGGTGTGTGAGTGTTACCAGAAATAATATCTAAAAAACCATGATCACAGCTACCATTATCAAAGCAGCAATGAATACTGTCTATTGTTTTTAGTGTTCTGTAATTAGAATCAGATTTAGAATAATTGTGTTCTGGAAATAATCATGACATATCAATTGAAGTCAAAGATACTCTTAAATATGGGCCTTTTTTTTTCCAGAAAAATTCTTAGATAAATATTAATGTTCATGAAATTCCTGATCACTATGAGATTGAAATGTTTTCAATTAATTTTATGTCCTCCACTTAGTTCTTATTGGACTGGTTTTGAGACAAAAGATGTTCAGATATATTCAAGATGTTATAATGTTGTTCTACACAATATAACTCCAGAAAAATTTAGGTTTTGAAATTTGTTTTTGTGAAATTTTCTTCATAGTGTTGATGATTTAACAAAAATAATTTAAAGTCTGTTCTTGTTTTTTCTTAAGTATTTTTGTGTTTTTAAACCCAGTTTCTACAAATTCATTAAAAAAGAATAATCCCTTTTTTTTAAATCTTAGAAAAGGCTTCTTACAGACATTTGTTGAAAATGTGATAGTCTTGAATGCTGCCATAGGATCTGTGAATTGACAAACACAATGAGTTACCAAATGCATATTCCAAACCCAATCTGATCATACCACAAAACTGGATTTACAAAGATTTTGTGATAACAGGACAGGCAATATGAATGTATAAAATGATTTTTCTATTTTTCTTTTTTGACAAATAAAATTCAAAGAAAAATTTTACTTTCTAGTCATTGGTTTAGAGACAGACTATTTCTACATTAAAAAAACTGAGTGAATTTTTGGTTTCTTTCTTTGAAATAACTTTGTGGAACTGACTACTACAGTCTTAAGCTGTTCAAGTCCAGAGTCAGCTGTTATCTTCCCCAAATATCCTCATAATCTGTGCTGCTTACTTAGTAACCTCCTATCTTGATTGGCTTTTGGGGCCTTGTATAGAATGAGCATCATTGTAAAGAACAAAAAAAAAGCCAATTTCCTTTTCAAACAACTAAAATACAAAAATTTCAGTTTCCTTTGAGGAAAATGTTTGTGGTAGCAACTTTGTCAGATCATGATTGATTTTATTGAAAAAAAAAACAAAACAAACAAAACCTTCAACTAAACTATGCTAACATTTATTATGCAAGTCAGTGTTTTCACAATAAAATTGCTATTAAGCAACCTATGTTGGCAAAATTTTCAGGATATGCACATATGTAGGGGTAATTTCAACTTATACCTTTATTAAAATATTTATTGGTGGGGGAGTTGGGTTTATGCAAAGTGCAACATAAATTCTTACTTATGAATAAATCCAAAAGTTATTGGCCAGAGAGATATATATTTGATCAGCATAATCTTACTTATTATAAAATGCAGATTGTGTGTGTGTGTGTCTGTAACGTTTATATATTGGATCGTATTTCCTACATTTTTCAACTGATTTCAACAAAACTTCACAGGACTACATAAAATTACCTTGTGGTGGTTCTAACGGTGCCAAAAATGGGATAAATATAATTGTTTTTGCACAAAATCAATTTGAAAACACGATTAAGAGACATCATGAAAATGGAAGGGGGACAACTCGCATCGGATTTCCTATATTTTTCAGCCAATAAAACAAAACTTCACTTTTTTTTTTTTTGGCAGGTAGTGTTTCTTATTCTCTTGCACAATTTTTTCTTTATTTTTAACATTCAGAATGTTTAAAAATTCCATTTACAAGATAATTATTTATAATAAAATTCTATTCAATCGGGAGACTCATAACGATTGAAAACAATGTTTTTGTTTGAGTTTGGGTTTGACTAATTCGTAAAAAAAAAAAAAAAAACTAATTAAGATATGCGTGTCCGTCAACCTTAAACAATAATCTACTGATCTCTACTGATTGTACGAATACAAACATCGGATAAATTCTTTATCTTTAGGGAAAGATAATGAAATCTAAACATACACAAGTCCTAACTAAAAATAATAACCGAACGGAAACTACTTTAAATACACATGGTGTCCAATTTTTTTACTGTATTCAATAAGTAAAAATCATAAATTGTAAAAGATTATTATTACAGAAAGGATACTAAATGAATAAGATTTGTTAGATCATAATTAATAAACCCAAATAAAGTTAATATTTTTTGTATTAGAAACAACAAGTGGAAAATATATTCAAATCAGAATTCTAATTATGAATCACCACAAGCAAAATATGCAATTTTTTTTACTGTATTCAATAAGTAAAAATCATAAATTGTAAAACTAAAAGATTACAGAAAGGCTACCTACATTTTTCAACCGATTTCAACAAAACTTTTTTTTGGCATATAGTGTTTCTTATTGTCTTGCTTATTGTCTCAATCAGGAGACTCATAACGATTGAAAACAATGTTTTTGTTTGAGTTTGGGTTTGACCAATTCGTAAAAAAAAACTAATTAAGACATGCGTGTCTGTCAACCTTAAACAATAATCTTTGTCAATTTTATTTTTCAGTCTTTATGATGGTGGATACTTGATCTATCTCTTACTGTTATATCCCTGGGCAACGCCGGGCTCTACTGCTAGTATCCAATATACCTGAATAAAATACTATATTCTTTTATGACATTATTTTATGGCTTTTTGACATCACCTTTGTCAGTCTTTCACTCAGAAATTTTAAAAATGTCTCTACTTTCAGCTTTAAAATTATTTATGGCAATTTTATTGCTTTTCAGAAATCTTTTTCCAGTTCTCATGTCTTTTAATCACAGGTTTTCTATTGTACTAATTTCTAGAGAAATTGGTAGGTGGGTTATTTCTTTAATTTGGCTTCTTTTGGCAGGGCAAGGTGGGCTGTAGTCAGCTGAGCAGAATATAAAGAAACATTTTTTTATGACTTTATTCTTTCACTTAAAGTTTCTTGATTGTAACCTGAACAACTCCAAAAATGACTTATCCAAGAAATTAGAATAATTTTCTGCATTTCATCTAGATATCAACTTTCAAGGAAGCAATAATGGCACTGCCTATGAGTCCAAAACATTACTCCACCTTCTTTCTCATCAAGTCCATCCAATATGGCTGTACATTCATCATTAAAAATGACTGTTGAGAAATCAATTTTTATGTACTCCTTCACCTTTGTGATGTTTGCGTAGATGTTTCTTATATAAGGCATCTTTTCTGTCTACATTAGCTGCACAAGCCTATTTAAATATTTTTTCTCAAATCTCTTTTTGTGACATGCTTAAAGCTGATTTTCTTTTTTGTTCTCTTATGAAATTTTTCAATTTCTTTTTTGATTGTTCCATCATCTTTGTTCAACTTTTTTACAATTTCTGACATTGTGTTCCCCATCACTCAATAAGTTTGCACTACCTTTGTTTTGCTTTTATGGTTAAATTTTTCTTACACTCCATAGCAATCTTTCTGTAAATAAGCAATAACAATACTATTATTTATTTACAATATGATGAGCAACCTTCAAGTTGCATAATCAGATTTCACACTGCCAAATAAAAAATAAATTGACTTGCCATATTTATAATTATAAATATATTCTCAAAATCTTAACCTAAATTGGTTGGTTAACTTGTGAAAACATTGATTTGTATCATAAAATCTCATAGTGTAATTGTTTTCATTTTTACCCTCTGGGCTCTAAATATTGGAAGAAAAGTGTGTGTGTGTGTATGTATATATATATATATATATATATAATTATTTTCACATATATATATACAAAAGTCATTATCATTGGTTTATCAAGGATTTTAGATTTGAAAAAGTTCATGAATGTTCATCAGGTGGTTTAAAGGTCAGTCAAAACATATGGTGGACACAAAATGCCATAAGATCTGGCAAAAAGTAAGCAAGTAATATTCAAGAAATTTTTTTTTTAAATGAATATTGTTTAGATTGTCCATTAGATTCTGGTAAGAGATGTATGTATGTACTGTACACCTTCAAAAACATGAGGTGATGGATTACTTTATAATATAAATATATATAATATATTACAATATTATATATTTAGAATATAGACACGTGCAACAAAATAAATCCTACATTTGCCTTGACAAATTCCCCTCAGAGGACGAAATGTGACAGCTAAGAATAGTTTTGCCTTGTCTTTTTTTTTTTATTCATTTTGTTCCTTTACAGATTCATTCTGTCTGAAAATAATTGAGACATATATGTAATATATGTATTCACCTGGTTGGTGGCAAATGACCCATCAGCATTGACATGCCGTTAAACAAAATCCAACCAAACAACTTTGGCCCTCAAAACATCTCTTTCTCATGAAGATTTTCTTCAACTTGCGTTTTTACCCTACAGGTTATTTTGGCTGCAGACAACTCATAAGTAAATTCAAGTTAAAACAGTTTTAGTCTTTTTTAATTATTTTTTTTATGAAGTGATTTTATATGAAAATCAGTTTTTTAATGTTTGCACTGAAAGTCTCCACTTGATTCAAGATGTATGTGTGTCAGTGTTTATATACATGTGTGTGTAAATATCATGTTTTAGCTTGTTCTGATAAAAGGTTTCAAATGTGGTGCCCCCAGTGAGAATTGAACTCACACTAGCTTTGTAAGACTATCTCATTTCTTGATATCAATTTTTCTTCTTAAATTAACTCAAAATATTGACAATGAATTCTCTGAAATTCCAAACCATTTGTGCAATTCATAGAAAATCATCCAAAAAATCTTATTATTCTTGTTTATGTCCGTTTCTTCTACCAAATCTGGATTTCTTTTCAAACAGAAGAACCAATCATTTTATTTAAGGCATTTTATATACTTTTTTTTTTTTTTTTTTGTATTTTTTTTAACACTCCATCAGGTTTCATTCTTACCATGTGACTAAATTCTGATTGACCAAAGAAAATGATTTTCTTATGATTTGCTTCTCCTTTGTTTAATACCATGCTTTTATGTTGGTATTTAAATAAACATTCTAATAGGTCAAAAATCAGTTACATGATTTTATTTATTTTTTAAAATCTAATTACTTTGTGTAACTTCAAAAAATGCAGTTGTAGATGATATTTGATTCATAAACAAGTGATGACCATTTTGTAAATATTTCTTTGTTGTTCACATCATCATCATCTGAATGTTATGAATGCAAGGGACTTCCTCTGTTTATTTATTCATGTAAGTAGATACCAAACAAGAATATAAATAAATTGAAATGAACAAAGACAATAGTAAGACAGTGAACAGAACTGTAAAGTGTTAGATTAATTGAATGTTCTTCTCTTGAGACTTTTGAGTGAGTAATTATCAACATTAATTACTTGGCTCTCAATCCAGTTTTGTTATTATCATGTAATCAAATTCTTATTGACCAAAGAAAATGGCCTCATTATTTTTATTAGTAAATAAATGTCCTGAAGAATTTCATGAATATTTCTCTGTTCAGAATATAATGAACACAAGTGACTTTCTCTGTCTATTGATTGAAGTAGATAGATGCTGAATATTTAAATAGATTGAAATGAAACAAAGACGCCAGCAAGAAAGTGTACAGAATTCTAAAAGAAAGTGTAGAGAGATTAATTAAATAATATTTTTCTCATGTGACTTTCAAACCAGTAACGAGTGTTGACCAGCATTAATGTTTTTAAAATTTGGCATCTAAAAATAATGATTAACCCCAAGATACACACAAAGAAATGGGTGGTGTTAGATTAATTAAAATATCTTTTTTCTGAGGCATTTGAACCACTAATTATCAACATTAATTTTGATTAAATTGACTTTTTAAATAACTAATATACAAAATGTATTTCTCTCTATTTCTGAAATGAGGTATTGTAACTATTTAAACTGTTTGGTCACATGGCCTAGTGGATAAAAGTGTTGGTTGAAGTGATCCAGTAACTTGAACACAAAGAGTTGTGAGTTCAATACCTGGCCACAGCAGAGTTGAATAAAACTTGAAGAGTCAAGTTACTAAAGGGAAATAACTAAAACTGAGACATCCAGAAAAGGCATGGCAAGTGGAACTAGAACAATCTACCCTGGTGAAAGAAATAAAGGGTTTGAAATTCCAATAAAGATGAGGACAATTGTATGAACAATGTAAATACAAAATATATAGTTTAATTTCAGTTTCTCTTGAGACATATCACGTGAAAGATGTTTGTTTTTATTGACAACAAAAAATTTTTGATGTTTATTTTGATATCTTTTTATGAGAGTTATTCAAGTCATCTCAGCTTGTTTGGCTTATATTTATTGATAATTTCAGATTGATTTTGAGATGTCGTCAAGATGCAAGGACACGTTTTGCCAAAATGAGAGCTGATGTTTTGGTCAAGATAGAATTGTTAGACCAAAAACATGGTAAGTATTTTTCTGGTTCTTTTTTTTTTCCAGCTAGAAATTCACTCATCTTAGAAATTCATCTTCATCTTGTTTGAAAACTTGAAGCTAACTCTGAAGAACAGAATTAAATTTTAATATTTGATTTGCAAAATGCTCTTTGATTTTGTTAATGTTTGAGGATAAAAATAACCTTAAAATTTTAAATCCCATGTAAAGATGAAAATAGTTTTTAGTTAACTTGTTTTCATTATATATACATATAAATATAAATCCCGTTTATTTTAAATACAATATACAGATATATATATATATATATATATATATTTTTTTTTTTTTAAAGAAAAACCTGTAATTCCCACATAATATATGGATTGCGTTAACCAGATATTTTTATTAAAATTTAAATCATTTAATGGTCAGTCTTTACTCAGCACTTGAAGATTTTATTGCAACTCAGTCTTGCTAACAGTGAGGAATTTTATATATCTCCAAAGATTCAATAAAAAAAAAAATGGGCAGAATGTAAAAATGCCCAAAACTTAGTTAAAATCTTTTTTTTTTAGATGTTCGCAATTTTTATTAAAATTCTTGTTTTACATGCATTAATTTAATTTCATGAAATTTTGAGAAATTCTTTTTTGTAGTGCTTAGTGCATATATATTAAGCTAAGGCCAAGTCCTAGAATTTAAATCATCAGATTTTTTGGGTCAAACATGCCCCCCCCCCCGTTACAGAATATCTGCTCTGAATTGTAAAATAAAAATGCAATAAAATTAAAATATTATTTAATTAGAATTGCTTTTATAAATAAGATATGAATATTTTTTTTTTTTTTGTGAATAATGAATTTTTATGATGGTTTTCATCTTTTTAAAATTCTATATTAATTTGTGGTGGTCAAATGAAATTGTTATTACATAAAAACTTGTTTACTAATAATAAATGGAAAAGCTCACTACAATTCAGCAAACCCCAGTATTTTAAAAAAAAATTTTAAGATTACTGGGTAATTAAAAACAAACCATCTAAAAAGATGATGTTTATGGTGTATTCATCATGTAATTTTACTACAATTATTTCCCCTTTACATAAATCTAGCAAACATCAGGTTATTGATAGATGAGTCAACACCTCATAAAAACACCTACCTCTGTGTTGAATAAAAGTTATTCTGCAATATTTTAGACTAAATGTAGGTGATATTTGTTTTAATTCAGAATAATTAAAATTAGCTGAAAATTAGAAAAGAAAAAAAATGAATTCCCATAAATCTAAATTCAGTTTGAAATGTAGCAAAGTATTTTGCTTGTTAGAAATATTAAATTTAATCTATTAGCTTGAAATAAAAGCTTCAAGAAAGACTTTTCATTTTTAAAAAGCATTTTAAACCTTAGGTATTGCTTTTTTTGCCGGAGGATATATATATATATATATATATATATATATATATATATACACACACACACACACACAATTTGTGTGTAAAGAGTATGGCCTTGTTATCCATTATTCTCTTTGCATAATGAAATCCAAGAATCATATATATCAGACATGTATAAAAAAATTTTCACCAGGAAATCGTCTTTTTTTAAAAACAATTAAAATGTTAAAAATTTCTCATGTCAATTGGAACATGTTTTCTGTTTGTCTTCCACCCACAAATTTAGATTGGATAGGAGTGGGGTCAGCTCAAATGCTGAGTCATTTCATGACACAAAATTTGATGATTTAACATTTAAATTAGGTTTTCTTTTAATTTTTCAAATGATTATTATTATTATTATTAGAAAAAAAGACATTTTTAATAGATATTTTTTTCTCTTAAAATATATTTTATAAAATAGTTTTAGTTTAATAAGTTTTGGTGATACCATGTATGGTAAGATCCTACCGGTATTCATATTTTTTTTTTAATCTGTATCCCCTCATGCAAGGTAGTAAAGCCACTAAGACACAAGGGGTTACAGGGTGTGGAAGAAATAGGAACAGAAACATAATGAGCGGGAAGAGAAAAGTCATCAGGAAGACAGTAGGTAGTGATTGACATTGCATTTAAATTTTTGCAGATTAAAGTTGGCTGGAAAGCATGGAGCCAGGAGGCAGTTCTAAAAGTGTGAAGTGCAAGAGAAGAAACTGTTAGCATAGAACTGACAGGCTGCATCTATAGCCAATTCAATTGTAATTTGATGAGAGTTCATCACCAGTCTAGTACTGCACTTAAATTCATAAAGTCTAGGTATGATAGCAAAGAGCTCATCTGAATATATAGTTAGAATGAGTTTACATTAGCATAAGGCCATTTGTAAAGAGCATCCAGTTTAGAAGATTCACACCAGACTTTCCAATAATTCCTTGAATGTGAACTGAATGTTCCTATTTAAAAATGATTAGATTTTGTAAAGATACAAATGATGACTTACTTGTAACTTACATGGTGGCATCCAAGCACAATACAAGTTCTTTTTAATACTGAACAAGGCTAATTGGAGCTGAGAAGATTGTATTGCACCAATCTTTTACAGAGAGAAGGGTTACCTGTCTTAAAAAAGTTAGCATTCAGAATCTTTGCTTTTAACCTGACATTGAACAGTTCCGCATTCCTGATTTGGTGCCTATATTGGCCATCTTGGAAAGTTATTAAGTACGTTTTTGTCTTTTTTTTTAAAAAAAAAAAAATGTTTCTTTTGATTTCAGTACAAGACATTGTATTCCAACTGCAACGATTTGTATCGGCCATGTCTAAATACCACAACGACTGCCACACGGTGATGAAGGAGGCTGTCGTCTTCCCAATTGAGGTTGATCTTTCTCGGGGAACATTTACTTATGATCAATCTGACCAGTTCAATGATGAAGATGAAGAGATTGAGGAAGGAGAGGAAGCAACCGGCGAGGGCATCAGTGATCCATCCTCAACCAGTGAGGGATTGATTGATTTGATGAGCACTTATTAAATTGATTTCCATTTATGCCTTCAATCTCTTTTTCTCCCCTTCTGAGAAGATACAAATTATTATTATTATTATTTTTTTTTTTTTTTTTTTTTTTTTATTCCCAAAGAAATTTAATCAAACATTGCCAGAGTTAGCATTTTTTGTTTTCTCCACATTACTTCAGAGTTTGGAAAAAGTCATTCAAAAAACCCCACCCAAATCATGTTATTTATTTAAGAGCAATTGTAATATTTGGATTCTTTTCTGGGTTTTTAGCTGAGCCAGCCATTTTTGGACATGTTATACCGTTTAATGCAGAAGTTACAAGTGTTATTGGGGAACAAATTTTCTAGTATCTAAAAATTACATTTCAAGTTAATAATTTTAAAACATGTAGAGGTTAGATATGGTAATATCATTCCTCACACATTTTCTTCTTTAGGCCAAAAGAAAATCTTAGTTTTTTAGACTTTTTTAAGCATTTAAACAATGAATTTCTTTCTAGAAAGTAATTTTCTATTTCGAGTCAACATTTCGATTGACTTGTGTGAAGATTTGACATTAAATGTTAAAGAAATTTTCTCTCTACAACTTACTTGTAGTAATTTGGAATCTGAAAGAAACTGATTCCAAATAATTTATTTCACTTTTTGTGAACATTCTCTCTTTGTAATCCTTTTTTCTTAAACCTTAACAGAAATAATATAAATGAAGATTTTTTTTTTTTTTTAAATGCCAAAGAAGTAGTAATGGAGAACCATCAGAACGTAAGAGGCATGATACTGAATAGAAAAATAATTCTGAAGTCAACAAAAACACAGCCTCCTCTCAAAATTGCATTTGAATGTTGTTGGATTTTTCTTTTCAGACAAAATTAAAAAGAAAAACAAACAAAAAAACTTAAATGTTAAATTAAAAATAAAAGTTTTTTCTGCACATTTTTCTAACTCACTTTTTTTTTTACCAAGTTTTTCCCAAATTTTCTAATTTCCGATCTTAATGTAAGAATCAATTTTGTTTCCCTACAATTGAAGAAAATGTTCAACATTCTTGCAAAAAAAAAAAATGTCCAAAATCTTTTGCATCCAACTCTTCAATTGGCTTTTCCCAAATCCTGTTAGAAAATGGCAGAGATCCTCAGTCTTTGAAAAAAAACAAAAAGGGTCTCTCTGTGATTTTCAACATAGAATTTTTGTTGCTTGCCACTTATTTTGAAATCCTTTTTTGTTGAGAAATGTCCATTTATTGCTTACACATTCCATTGTTGTTACAAATAATAAAATATTTTGAAATTTCATCCTTCTTTTTCATCTTTAATAAAAAGCAGAAAGTTGGGAAATGAAAAATCATTTCAAAATACATTTCAGAATTATTTGGTTCTTTCTTGAGTCACAAATATTTTATATTTATTTAACAATAATTGAAATTCTTTTCACAAAGACAATGCAATGAAATCTAATGGCATGATTCTTGTTCAACACCACCATTAAACTGAAATGATGTAGTTGAAACACAGATTTATGAGATCAAAATGATAAAAGCATTTCAATATGAAACAAGGGAAGCTTTGTGTCCTTATTGAAATTTAAATATTTTTCTTTCAAAATTATTTCATCAAATCAACACAATTTCATTGCATCATTTTCACATGACTCTAGGCACATCTCTTATCAAATCTCAATTTCTAATTGTTTATAAAGATTTTTTTTGAAGTCACAACAATTTCAAGAAAATAACAAACAGAAATAGAATTAATTTTTCATGCAGATTTTTTTTTTATTTGCATCAATAAAAGACATCATTTGCTGTCATTGTCAATTGACATTTTACAGTGATTAAAAATAAACTGCCCACTTAAGACCCAATATAGGATGAATTGAATGAGGAACAAAATACCCACCCACCCTTCTTTTTAATAACCTATTGACCTTTTTTTTTCTTTTTTTTTCAAATTGAGTGCCAAATCTTGAATGGGTTGCTGCTTATAAAGACTTCTTTTGCATTGTAATATTGAACCTCTTGGTTTTTAGTTTGCTTCAAGACCACTTGAGTCAAACATCATCAAAAACATGATTTTAAATACTTGAAACTTTCAAAGTGAAAATTTATAAATAAAATACATTTAATAGCAGGATATATATATATTTTTTTTTTTTTTTTTTTTGCAGAGCCCTTGTGAATTTTGAAGCCAGTTTGAAAGCATTTGTTATAATTGCTAGTTTCTCACTGCAGTGTAGTAAAGATAATGGTAGGAGGTTTTGATTAGAAATGCAAAAAAATTGATAAAAGAACTCCCCAAAATAAGGCAGCTCAATTTGTATGTGGGTGGCAACAATGTAACACTTATGTGTTACTATTTTAATATTTTGAAAAGTTTATACTTAATTATGATTATGGTAATAATTGTACCTTTACTAACATTTGGCTGGTTAAGGTAGTTTATTGGAGGAAATGCCTTTTTCATCAATTGTCTGTTTGACTCAGCTAGTGTAATTTAAAATTTTCATAACTCAGTCTTCATTTCTAAGTCATTTATATTAAAATAAATGTAAAACCTTTGGTTATTGGTTAGAATTTTATTTAAAGCAATAAAATGTCCAATTTACTATTTTTGACAGATGTCTGTAGAATGGTGTGTGGCATAGGATAATCTTTGAATTTTAGGTTTAAATAATTTAAAAAAAAATCTTAGGTTTTTTTTTTTTAAATTATTTATGCCTATTAGATAGCAGAGACTAATGGACTGTTCTATATTCATTTTATTTCTTTCTGACAGCCTGAATATATAATAAAATCTCCTTTAGATCAATTTAGGATTAAACTTTCTTTTTTTTTTTCAAATTACCTTATACACTGGCATATGAAAGTTATCTTTTAGAAAAGTTTAAGAATTAAAATTATTCAGATGTTTTATTAAAAAAAAAAAAAAAGTGTTAATATTTTTTTTTTTTATTTGGTTTATTGAAAGCTTTGTCACCCAGAAGCAAAATATTTACTTTTTTTTTTTTTTTTTGCTCCGAGGGAAGATGACATAATTTGTGAGATTTTCTATTTCACAACTAAAACCTGGTTACTTTTAGTGACGTGAAATATTGACATTAGTTTTCATTCTAATGTCTGAGAAAAGTTGTGGTTCCAGGAAATGACCAAATTCGCTTGAGAAGTTAAATTTGTGTGCAACGATACAAGCCTTTTAAATAATAAATAAAATGCATTTTAAAATTTGAAGAAAACATTTAAATATGTTACATGTTTTTTTTTTCATTTAGCTTCTGTTTTGATTTGATGAAAAGGACAAATGTATCTCTTGATTTAGAATGATGATAAATGTTAGAGAAAACATGAAGGTTAGCAGACAAATAAAGGTCAATGGCAGATTTGAATTTTTTTTTTTCCAGCATTTAAAGGAAACCTATTCAGCTTTGTGCAAGGTGTTGATTGGTTTTCTAGTAATCTTTTTGATAATCAATTTTATAATGGCTGCAAAAATGTGTGAAGTCGTCAAAAGAGAAATGTCAATGAAAAATAAAATTGACGAGTTTGGATGGACGGAATTACATGCAGCCAAAGTTCCTCTTGGGATGCTGAAAATACTGTTCAATAGCATCACTTGCAAATGTGAAGAGAATCTCATCAATTTCCACTGTGCATGTATCATAAGCAATTGCTATGAAGCACCTGTTGTGATAATTTTAACCAAAGCACTGATATTGTTGTTTTTGATTGCCGCTCTGCAAGCTGTTACCACTTGTGTTTTATATTTGCCAACTGAAAAAGAATAAGGAAGGGGAAGAAATAACACACAAAATTAACATACTTGTTCTTCTAATTGTCTTAGAATACATTGAGTTCTTTTTATTAAGTGTATGCAAAAAAAAAAAAAATACTTGACAAAGCAGCAGATAAAAATTAAATCTAGACTATCACAAGAAACTGAAATTAAAATAAATGATTTTATTAACAACCCAAAAGCAAAAGTTTTGTCATAGATATGAAATAATTACAAAATTCTAAGAGATGACTTACCTCGGAGACGGGATGCCTTCTGGATGACAAGGTTAACTTGTTTAAGGCAAGACACAAGTTCTGTGTGATTATTGCAGCGGATGTTGTAATCCCTCAGCAAATCTTGGTTCAAGTGGTACAACTCTGTATAACCTTGTTTCATTGCTTTGCTGAAAAACAAATACACATTTTATTTAGGAATACATGAGGTACATTTCAGCACAGAATGCAAGACTTTCAAAACCAGGTCTGCAATCTTTTTCAAAGCAAAACAATTGTTGAAATTAAGAATGACAGCTGGTTCTCAAAAAGAAAATACTTTTTTCATTCAACAAACATAACAAATGGGATTCCCAAAGATGTTCTGTTTTTAATATGATTCAAATATGTACAAATTGTATTTATTCTTTCTCTGAATAAAAAGATTAAACCAATAATTTAAGTGAGTTACAAAGAAAAGCCAACAGATTTGTTGATGTAATTCTAAAAGGGTGTGAGTTGTCCTTTTTTTATTTATATATATATATATATATATATATATACACACACATTTGCCATTTTTGAAATGAGTAAAATGATTTCTATAAGATGGCATAGACAATATTCTGATACAAAGACATTTTGTCACATTAGACCCCAATTTTTAAAAAATCATATTATGCATTTATATAATAAATTTTTATTGTTAAGGTGTTTTTCTCATTTCACAAAAGATGCACTTACACCCTTTTAGCATCACATTGATGGACAGTTAGAATATCCATGCAGCTTGTCTAACTTTTAATGTATATAGTCCATCAGTGGGTCAAAGGTTAATTTTTTAGGCAATTTCAAATTAATGGAATAGGTTTTGTTTCTATTCCTGGAAATGCCATAATGTAGATTCCTTGTGCTTTTTCTATAAATACTTTCATGGTAATTGTTCTGATGAACTTTTCTCTATGGTACCTCGACTTTATGAATTTAAGCACTGTACTAGATTGGCACCAAGGTCTCATCATTTTACAATTGAAATGGCTGCTAGATGTAATCATAAGTTTTATGCTGACAGCTTCTTCTATCACACTTCTCACTTGTGGAACTCTCTTCTAGCTTCTTGCTTACCAGTCAACTTTGAATTTCAAAGTTTAAATACAATGTCAACCATTATCTTCTGTCTTCTTAATTCCTCTTCTTTTATTGTTTTCATGCCTTAATAGTGTTGTTTTTCTTTCTCATATTCTCTAACCCTCAGTAATCCCTTGTATCTTAGTGGCTTTATTGTCTTGTTTGTGGTGAAATTATTTAAAATAAATAAATATACATAGATTAATGCCTAGCAAATTTTACAAGTCATTGGTGAAGAACTTGATTTTCACTCAATATTAAAATTAAGTAGAAAGTTATCTTTGAAAGTCTTGAATGAAAAATATCCATGACAATTCTTCACAATGTTAGCGCAGTTAAACCAAAGTGATTGTTTATCAGGTAACAAAAGCAACTAGAATAATGAACATTATGAACAAAAGCAGTTTCATTACTTACATGTCTCCAATGAGACGTGTATCTTCAGCACGAACAACCATGCTCCGAATGAGATTGGAATGGTCAGCAATGCCAGCAGTTAGAGTTTGTCTCATGCTATTTAAACCATCCACCTATATAGAAGAACAAAAGTTTTCTTAATGCAAACGGCAATGATACAAAGCAAAGAAGAGAAATCATTCTACTCTGCTAGAACAAGTAAACTATGTCAACATTAGCCCGTCATGTGGAGAAAAATCCACATATGGTGGGATGAGGCAGGTTGATTTGAATCCATTCCAAGTAAGCAATTTGTTAAGCCAAGCAAAAATAGGAGCAGAGTTATCATTTGAAACGGTGAGGAAGAGGTAAAGAATTATTTTGGATACAACAGTTTGTCTTGGTGTAGCAAAGGACACACACAGAACAAGGAAAAGAAAAAAAAGAAACTGTCAATTGAATGTAAAGATTGTTTTTTACAGCTTATCAACCTTTTGTAGGTTATTTAAAGCCAGAATATATTTTTTAGATTGTAAGAGTTTTAGATTGTAAGAATTTTTACTGATACAAACATAGAAGAGGTGGTTTCATGCCTTTCCTAAGTTTATTTGTAAATGAATATAATGAACCTGAAGAATTGGATCTCTGCTCTCCAATTTCCAATTCCAAGATGTTATCCATTAAACCATCTGCACATCCTAATATTCACAAGTGCTCACCCATCTAGGTAATGACCAGGCTTGATGGTGCTTAACTTTGGTGATTGAACAAGAATCAGTGAACACAAAAATATGGATAAAATAAATATTTCTTTATACTTTAAGACTGGTTTTATTTTCTTATTGTATAAATTTATACAGAACTATAAAAAGCTTTATATTGATGCCCCATCTTAGGTTTTTATTTTACCCGTTTGAGTTTGAACATTCATAGATATTTTAATGATTTGTTTTTGCGGCAATATTGGACTGCAGAGAACAATATATCTGGGAAAGATACAAGACTCCTGACATTCGATTATACCTTGTTTGTGTCTATGCAACACCCATTCATCTCTCCTCTCCATTGCAGAAAACTGATCAATTTGGTCCCAAAGTTTGAAATTTACAAAGAAATGCTCTCTAAACTCAAACCAAAAATGCTTTAGTCAAGCATTAAAATTAAATGGGAGAAATAGTTTTTGCAGTTCTGTTATTTGTTTCTAAGTTAAATGTTTGTAATGTTATAGTGTTGGAGATTTTTGGCAGGTAAATAGACAAACTGACAGCACTGTGAGAGGGAGCAGTTTACTATAGAGCCATAAAGACAATTTTTCATTACTTCATTTTCTTCTAAAGAATTACCTAAAAGTATTTCAGGGACAAGCCCATTCTTATAAAGCATTATAATCCAAACAATTGGCATTTCTAATAATCGCATTCATTTTTTAATTCATTATATTCATGTTTGAAATATTTAAATTTAGATTTATTCTAGTTTAGCCAGTGTTAAAAAAAGAAGCCAATTTTATTTTATTTTTGAAAATCAGGCAAAAATGGTTTCAATTCTGAGTTTTGAAACTAATTCAGCTGAAGAATAGAGAAAGAAAAAAAGTTGCAAATAAGTGGTATAAATACACTACTTTTTCAATGAGTGCATTTAAGGATTTCAATTCCTCAGGGAAATGTGCAGCAACATTGAGGTCCTCAATCTTGAGATAAGTGGCCAAAGACTGGACAATATTTCCTGCCACATCGAGGTCATCGGTTTGGATAATGACCTGAAAAGAAACAAGAGAAAAAATGGATTCAACAGAAGTGAAGAATTCAGAAAAGGTAATTTTTATTTTACTTTGAAGAGTTTTATAAATTGTGCAGAATTTCTGGGGGAAACATCATTTGGGGGTCCAGAAATATTAATGTTTAGGAGGAATGTCTGTAGACAGGTAGGAAGGACCTTACACAGAAATTTTGTTACAGTGCAAGTTTGTTTCACAAGTCACTGTTTGTGAGTTTTGATTCTTATTTAATTCAAAAATTCTTTCTAACCTTGTTTAATTTTCACCTATTTCCTTCCATCTTCATGTCCTGAAAACTTTCCAATGAGAAAAAATACAAATAAATATTCCTGTAAATACAACTGAAATCACATGTTGCCTTTTGACTTCAGTAGTAACTTTTTTTTAAAAAAAAATCATTTCACCCCAAGAAAGGCAGTAAAGCCACTAAGACACAAGGGGATTACTGTGTGTGAAAGAATATGAGAAAAATTAAAACATTATTAAGGATAGAGAACAATAAAAGAGGAATTAAGGAGACAAAAAATAAGGATTGCATTTAAATTTTTGAAGATCAAAGCAAGAAGTTAGAAGAGAGTTCCACAAACAAGAAGTGCAAGAAATACTGTTAGCATAGAACTTATAGTTACATCTAGCAATTTCAAATGTAAAATGATGAGACCTAGTTGCCAATCTAGTACTGAGCTTAAATTTTAGGTACCAAAGGAGAAAGCTCATCAGAACAATTACCATCAAAGTATTGGGTTGTCTGGAAAGTTCATGCTGATTTTTAGTCATTCATGTTCCAACACATTAAAACACGTCAAATTTATCAACAGATATATTTACATTTCTGATTAGAGCACACTTCAAATTATCTGTTGAGAAAGAAAGTTGAAAATCACTTCATTCATGTCAATTTTACATCCCTATGAAAATAGATTATAAAGGTGCATTTTAGACACTTGATGCTTTTTTTTTTTACCATAAAGGCAAAAATGTCTCACATGCAACAAAATGTGCTGTGTACAGTGAAGGTGCTTTAATTGACAGAACTGTATAGAAGTGGTTCGCTAAGTTTAGAGTTGGTGATTGTAACCTTATTGTTGAAGAACACTTTATGACAATGTTCAGTGAAAAAGATTGTTGGGTAAGCGACATGAAGTAACTTCAGCCACCTCAAAAGCAGGTCTTCATCCTAAGAAAGTCATGCTCTGCATCTGGTGGGTTTACAAAGGAATCTGGCACTATGTACTTCTGTCAAGTAAACAGTCAAGTGATTCTGGAATGTAATGCTCATAATTGGATGAATTAAAGGCAGCAATTCAAGAAAAACATTGGCAAACAAAAGACGTGCTGTTTTTCATCAGGATAATGCCAGACCTCACATTTCTTTGGCGACCCGGCAAAAATTGTTGCAGCTTGGCTGGGATATTTTATCCCACCCACAATATTCACCAGATATTGCTTCTTCTGATTTTCATTTGTTCAGGTCTTTGCAAAATAATCTCAAGGGTAAAAATTTCAATTCTTTGGATGACATAAAAAACCATCTTAATGAGTTCTTTGACGAGAAGCCACTGAAATTCTGGGAAGATGGAATCTTTAAGTTGAAGGAAAAATGGAGAAAAGTTATGCAACAAAATGGTTCATATTTAGTTGAATAAATATTTAATGGCATTATTTTGTACTGAGTTTTAATTTCCCTTAAAAATTGGCATGAACTTTGTAGACAACCCAATATTTATAGAAAAGGCACAGTGATTTTATTTTTACTTTTAACTGAATGTATGGCTTTCATTTTTTATGTATGTATCTAGAGTTACACACATTCAGTTAAAAGTAAAAATAAAATCATCCTTGATGATGGTTCAAAGAATAGCTAAAAGTGCTCAGGTATACAAAATATTTGGACAGTGTACTCTTTGTGAAGGCTGGAGGAACATTACATCAGTGTTCAGTGTTCTATCTTATAATACATAGAGAGGTTCAAATACATGACCTCTCAAAAGTTTACTCACCTGTTTGAATTGGTCCATTTTAAACAGGAGGGGTGTTTGATTACGCATTGACATAAAAGAGAGGTGAAGGTTATTTCCAGCCTGTAACAGTTCTTTTAACAAGAAGTTTTGATTGATCCAAATGCATACCTAAAAAAGAAGAAAAATTTGGGGCACAAAATCTTCAGGCTTTGGAGAGACAAATCTGTTATCTCTAATTTAATCTCTTCCATTGTAATAAGAAAAATAAGGTAAATTGTTCTGCTTTCAGTTAGAAGGAAAAACTGATGAAAGTTATTGCAAAACTGTCAAAATTGATTAAAATGAGACAATGTAACATTTAGAAAGGCTTTATTCATCTGCAAGAGAAGATGACAAACTCAAACTATTTATAAGACTTAAACGTAAATTTGTTTTAAGAAGGACAAGGACAAAAGATTTAAGGAGGATTACATTACAAACCAAAACTTCCATCATGTTTAATGAAAGTAATCCTTACCCTTTGAACTCTGTCATTGATAGTGAATTTGACATAACCTTCTGGTTCGGGAACTGGCAGCTGTGAGCATAAGATGTACATAGAGAATCTGGGTACAAAACGATTGATCTCAAACACATGGTAATGGACACTGGAAAAGAAAAGTGATCTCAGCTAAAAGAAAAGAACAGTCAAAGGCAGACAAAAATAAAGGACAGAAGATAGAAAAGTGATGAGCAAGTAGAAGGAGACACACAAAACATCAAAGAAGAGTGACATACAAGAAAACAGTGGAAGAAAGACACAGAAGATTCCAAGAAGGGAATTAAAGAAAATAAATAGCAGGATAAAAAAACAGCATGTACAGATAGGAAATATATATATATATATATACAAGACAAAAGAGCACAAGAGACAAAAAGTGATAAGGGGCTAGGGGGTCACATGAGACAAAAAGTGATAAGAGGCTAGGGGGTCACATGAGACAAAAAGTGATAAGGGGCTAGGGGGTCACATGAGACAAAAAGTGATAAGGGGCTAGGGGGTCACATGAGACAAAAAGTGATAAGGGGCTAGGGGGTCACATGAGACAAAAAGTGATGAGGCTAGGAGTCACATGAGACAAAAAGTGATGAGGCTAGGGGGTCACATGAGACAAAAAGTGATGAGGCTAGGGGGTCACATGAGACAAAAAGTGATAAGAGGCTAGGGGTCACAAAAGACAAAAAGTGATAAAGGGCTATGAAATGAAAGCAAAACGTTATCAACCAACCAGTTCTTGTAACCAACTAAAACTTTAACATGTGCATCTACTGGTGTATCCTTGGGCAAAATAAGTGGCATCTTTAAAGAGGAAGAAAGTCTGTTGGCGTTTGGATGTCTGAAAAAAAAAAAAAAAAAGAATGCCTCTGATTTTAATAGATTTACCTGGGTTGGATATTTTTCTCTTTTACCTATTAAAGTGTAAAAGAGGAAGGCTTAGATTAGCAAGGTCGAGTAATTTTGTTCTTGTGATTCTGTGACACAAACACAGAGAGAAACTTCAAAATAAGTTTGCTACTGAGAAAAGAAAAGCAGCTCACTCCAACACTGTACATTGTTGAATGCCTGATCCACTATAGATTGTAGACAATCACAAGCTTTTCTCAATGACTACTGGTAACAAACTGCTTAGCTCATCAAACAAATCCTTAAATACATATTGAACTCATGAATATTTATCAGTCAATAGTATTACAAAGATTGTATTTGCACTTACTGTATTGCAAATGGCCATCTACACACAAAGTGCATAAAGCATTGTGATCTTCAGGTAATTTGTAATATTTTTTAAAGCTTAATTTTGATACTTCATTACAAGCATCTATTTGACAGTCTTTGTTTTCCAGACCCCAAAACACCAATTCAAGTTAGAAAGCAAAATGGTTTTACAAGCATGCAAAATTACCTTTGGGTCTGCAGGAGTGATTTTGACGTGAACAAATCAGCCAATTTTTTCAAAATGTCTATCAGTATATAGTCTGCAAAACCAACCAAAATGACACTCCCACAATATGTCAGATTTTATTATGCAAGTCAATGTTTTCACAAGAAAATTGGTATTACCCAGCTGATTGAGGGAAAATACTATGTGCGAATTTCAGCTTTTTTATCAGAAATATTTACAATAACTTATTTGGTGTTGCAAGATTTTATTATGCAACTCAAGAGTTTCTAATTATTTTGTAAGGAAATATTATAATTACAATATCTTTATCTTCTTAATTCCTGTTCTTTTATTGTTCATGATACTTTTTTTTCCTCACATTCTCTCACGCTAAGTAAACCCTTGCAATTTTAATGACTTTATTTTTTGAATCATTTCACCTCAAACAAGACACAATGTGTTACTGAGGGTTAGAGATGATGAGGAAAAAAATACTATTAAAGAGAGAGAAAAATTAAAGACAAGATAATGATAGACTTTGCATTTAAACTTTTGAAGATCAAAGTTGACTGGAAAGCAAGATGCACTACAAGTGCAAGAGAAGAAATTGACAGTTATATCAAAGCTATTTCAACTGTAAAATGATGAGGTCCTTCCACCAATCTAGTACTGTGCTTGAATTCATAAAATTGAGGTACCATAGAGGATAGTTCATTATTGCCTTGCTTAGGTTGAAATGATTATCCTGGGGCATTCATCAATGAAACTCTGGAGTCAGGATGCTGACTTACATACACATGCTCCAAGTTAGCGGGATGGCCAAGACCAACTTTGCATTTCCCAACTCCCATCGATAGTGAAATAATCGATTTTTTCACGCTTCTATGGCAGTTTTTATGTAGTTTGCGGCCATTTTGTACTGGCCAGAGTGAGAGCCAATAGCTGGCTGCCACAAATAGGCAGGAAGATTCTATTGGCCATCAATCAGCTAAGTGACAAACCTTTTTCTTGTACTAATTCTATATATATATATATATATATAAACTTTTACAAGTCATAAGAAAGACAAAATGTCAAACGGAAAACAAGATATTGTGTGATGGGAACAATGTTGGAAATTACAAAAAAATCACAAAATAATCAAAAGGAAATTGGAAACTGATATGTCCCAGAAAGGGATATATTGGATCGAAGTAGCTAAGAGGTTTTGGCTACTGTAACCAAGTAGTACATGGTAGCAGTAAGCGACCGGTACTCGTCATAATCACAGGTAATAGGTGTAGACCAATAGGATAGCCAATGGCGTAGTCCAATGGGTGTTGTCATAGACTTAAGCTCTGTCGTACCTACACATCCGTCTGTATTTATGACGGACACCAGCCAATCATATTCCAGTGAGGGGGAACTCAGGTGTATGTATATTTCATTATATCAAAAACATTGGCTAGAACAAGAATGATTGATTGATTGGTCTTTTTTTTATGACTTATCAACCCTTTGCAGGTTATTTAAAGCCAGAAAATATTTTTAGATTTTAAGAATTTGTTTTTGGAGATAATAATGATTTTGTGACAAAAGTCCCACTAATTAACCCATAGCTGGGGGAGAAGAGGTGGATTCATACCTTTCCCAAGGGTATTTGTACTTAAGTGAATACATAAGCATGACTGGAATTGGAATTTGGCTCTATGATTTCCATTCCATTTCCAAGCCATTATCATTACACATTACACCACCTGAACGTCAAAGTTTACAACACCTGATATTCCCAAGCAGTTACCCATCTTGCTACTGACCAGGCTTGACATTGCCTAATTTCAGTGATTGTACAGGAATTGGTGTTTCAATGTGATATGGTTGTAAGCCTGATAGATATTTGCAGTGAACGACTGCAGAGGGCAAAAAGGCCCAGGGTTGCATGCATTTCTTGCAACAGTCATTGTAACACTAGAGAAAATGGCTTACTTCCAGAATGAAAATGGATTCAGACATATCTCACATGTAAACTATCCTAAAAGGAAAAATGTTGGCTTTGCAAGTCACACATTTAAAACAGATAGATCTCGGCGTCAGATAGAGTCTTTTTTATATATGCAAATTGGATATAAAAAAAGTGCATAATGAGGCGACAGACAGAACAGTGACTGCTGTAGCGAACAGGAGACATATGTTGCAGTCAGTGGAGTGTTTGACTTAAGGAAATGGATTATGGGAATTAATTACAAGCCAGAAGAAACTATAAACTAAAGTACAATAGTATAAGCTGAAATATACACAATACATTGTTTATAGAAATATGTGTCTATCCTGAAATGTTTTACCAACATCAGTTAGTTCATGTTAATTTTGTTGGGTAAACATTGAATTGCATAACAAAGTCTGGTTTAGTATATGCTCATAAAGTAATATAATGTACACATAACAACAACTAACAATAAAAAAAGAAACAGGGTATCTCTATCTATAAAAGGCAGGATGTGTGTGTGTGTGTGTAACGAATGCATAGCCGCAATTTTTGACAGAATTGCACGAAAATTTACATACACATGCTCCAAGTTAGTGGGATGGCCAAGACCAACTTTGCATTTCCCAACTCCCATCGATAGTGAAATAATCGATTTTTTCACGCTTCTATGGCAGTTTTTATGTAGTTTGCGGCCATTTTGTACTGGCCAGAGTGAGAGCCAATAGCTGGCTGCCACAAATAGGCAGGAAGATTCTATTGGCCAGCGTGAGAGCCAACAGCTGACTGACATGAATGTTAACTAGCATGATAGCATGCAAAAAAAATCGATAGTTGCATTCGTCACAAGTGGGAAAAATTTAAATCTGCATGGCACTTTACTCCAATTGGCTCATTTGCTTGCTTAAACTCAACGTTGATTCTGATTCTGCAGAACTGGGTTGGGTGTGAAAAAGTATTTGTTGTTAACATTCTTTTTTCATTCAGTTTTTCCAGTTATGAGTCCTTTTTTAAAGCTGATCGTTTTGTGTTCATATTGTTTAGTTCTTTTTTTGTAACAGATTTAATGTTTAGTATAGAGCTTAGGAAAAAATCGCAGTGTGAGATAGGCAAGAAGGCATGTAGCAACATCAGCACGGCAAAGGGCACTCCTTTAAAGGCAAGGAAGGGCAAAAATATTTTAAGTCAACTGATGGCGATTGCTGTATGAGTCGTACAATTTTTGAATCAAGCACGAGCAACGCCGGGTGATGCTGCTAGTAACAGACTAAATATGAAAGTGTCAAATGAATTTCATGGAGAGTGTAAGGTACTAAATTGGATTTTTGGTACTGAAACTGAAGATTATGCATTTGTTGTATAAGATAAAAATAAATTCTATTGGCAGAGTTAAACAGAAATCATGTTAGAGAAATAATAGTGGTTAATGGAAAAGTAAGAATAGAATGCTTGATATGCTTTCCTCCTTCGTGCCTCAAATTTAATTGTACTACTAAATTGGCAACTATATCTCACCATTTTACTGTTGAACTAACTAGATGCAATCATATATTCTATTCTAATAATTTCTTTTCTTACCCTTCTCGCCTCTGGAACTCTCTTCCAGTCTCTTGCTTCCATACTGCCTACAATTTTCAAAGACTTAAATGCAATGCCAATTGACATCTTGTGGCTTCCTGAAACCTGTTCTTTTATTGTCCTTTCTCCTCACCTAAGTTTTCTCATTCTCTTTCATTCCCAGTAACCCCTTGTGTCTTAGTGACATTGCTTGGGGGTGAAATGATTTTTAAAAAATAGAAAACATTTTCAATAGAATGGCACAACTTCCAGTTGTTTAATGAATTACCAAAACAAGTAGAACTTTCAGACTTACATCACATGGCTTTCTCCATCAAAAATTCCTTCAGCAAAAATGGTAACAGCTCGAATGATTGTATCTGGAAACAAACAGACATATAATTGTGTATTTAGGTAGAAATCTCCCTTTTATATATATTTCATTAAAGACAACAGAAAAGGTACTGTGATTAAGCTTTTTAGTTAATTTTTCTTGTATTCAAACAAATGTTTTCTTTTTTGGACACAGCGTGTGTAGAAACTGTTCAAATGTTGTGTAATTCCAAGTGCTTTTGGCTTTACTTTTAGCCATTATCAAGGATGATTTTATTTTTACTGTTTAACTGGATCTATGGGTTGTGTGTTGATATCTAGAGTTAGAGTTTTATTTTCTGAACACAGTCATCAAAATTGTGGCTGTATTCATGGTTAATGTTATTGAGTGCTGGCTTTTTATTTATTATTAAGGCTTGTATTATTTTTAATCTTTTTTTTACATGTGGATGAGGTTATTATGCTTGTATTTTCTACTAGTATGTTTCAGATTGAGTCTGGTAGGTTTATGTGTGTGTTTAAATGAGTTCAAATGGAGCTATGGTCGGATAGGTGTAACATAAATCGTCTGGATAGGCATATAGTAATGTGACCACTGTAATTATTTATGAGTTTGGTTTGATCAGGAACACAATTCTTTAAGAGGCATTTGAACTCATAAATAATGTTTGTTCTTTGTAGTTTTGATTTTGCAGGGGTGTTGTTATTTTTGAGGAACTGTTATTTTTTGTTAGCTGTTTTAAAATTTTTGTAATAAATTAAATTTTAAAAATTAAATTTTTTGTACATTTTTTATATATATATATATATATATATATATATATATATATATATATATATATATATATATATACAGTGTGATGAAAAAGTAAATCCATATTTTAAAATACTTATAATTTATTTGTTTACTATAATTTTTACAAGAAATGGATATGAGAGGAAAGCATTTAGCATGAGCTTTTGTTTAAAATTTGATATGGTCATCAGACTTCACTACGAGCTTCTCAAGTCACCCAGGAATTGTGTCAACTGACTTCACCAGGAACTCTTGTGATATGGAAGACATAACTTCTTGTATTCACCCTTCAAGTTCTTCCAAAGTCTTGGTTTGGTATAGTAGACCTTTAACCAACCCCAGAGAAAAAAGTCACAGGGGGTTAAGTCAGGACTCCTGGTTGGTCACTCAGACATAAAATAGGGAGTTACTTTTCAATCACCCTGTATATATTATATAGAAATAAAAATGTTAATGGAATACGTATATTTTCCTGGATATAACATTTTCCAAGAGACCTTTCCATAGTATTCTAATGGGTTGACTTTAAATATGGCTAACTCAGGAGAACTAAATTTGAATCTGTGTTTGTGTTCATTCATGTCACAAATTGCCTGATGCTGTATTCACTGCTTTTTGGGATGGGATAATTTCTGCAGTTTCTATACTAGGCCCTATTTTACACATTACCAACATCATGTGTCATTTCCCAAATTAATATACCCTACTAGATTTTCATTAACTTTTATGACTTATTTTTATATCAACAGATCCTCTTAACTGAATAGTTAAAAAGAGAAAAAAAGTGAACCTACAAACCTACCACATTGAAGCTTCATTTCAAGATATCTCTCTTATTTATGTGGAGTGAAGATGGAAATAAACACTAAAACAGTCAAACACCATATGACAAAAAATGGGTTATGAGTCAATAGATTGCACATTTCTTCCAGTTGATAAATTAATGCTTTGAAAATAAATATTTAACATTTTTCAACCAATGGGTCACGTTCTGCCAACAATAAAAAAAAAAGCTTTGTGATCCCTTTGAAGGGCATTTAAGCAAAGTTTCCTAATGGACAAACAAGGAGATACATACAGCAACAGTTCACAATGGCTCGGATTAAAAGAAATTCCCTTACTTATTTACTTCATCTTCCTCACCAAGCTGTGTGACACTTACACTTTCCTTTGCCTTTTCTTTTTCATACATACATGCAAAGAAATCACATTTCCTTTCATCTTAAACAACTGCAAACAATGACTGTAAGAACTTTAACACTCATACATGCTAAGAAAAATTAGTTATAAAAAAATACAAAAATAAAAAAGATTTTATATTTTTATATTTAAGAAGCTTTTTCTTTGTTGTGGGTTGATTCAAATCTGAAACACACATATATATACCAAAGCGTTTTATCCTTTAATGGACTTTATCAAAGCAAATGCAAGGATTTTATTTTGCAGCAAGTATTTATAAACAGATGTAAAAATGTCCTTGTTTTCAAAATTTTAAAATTTAAGAACAATCATAAACATTCTTCAGGCTAACTGTGAAAGTCAAGGTAAACTATTGAGGATGCTAAGTGATCTAAATCATTTGCCTTGATAAAGTCCATCAGAGGACAAAACATGTTGGTAAAGAAAAGTTTTCCTTTTGTCTTTATTCATATGTATATATCAGTGGCAAAGAGTGACTTGGAAACTAGGGCATGCAGTTCATTAAGCAGACTAATCATCAAGGCAGAGAGGGAAAAAGAGAACTCACTTTCTACTTCAACGGCTGCATAAGAAAATAAGACCCCCCAACAAAAAAAGTTGCTTTTCACTACTTTTTAAAAAAAAAAAAAAGTAATTTTGGTTTAATCTTGTTCACAATTCATCAAATTAACAGTTTCTGTTTTAATGAGATGTAGACATTTTTATTTTAATTTAACAGGTGTCAGAAAATGATGTTGATTGATAAATGGAAAAGTGAAAATTCATAATTATGACGTAAAATAAATTAATATTGTTTTAATTACCCTTTCTTCTTTAAAATAACACCAATATTAATACATGAAATTTGAATTTAAATACTTTTAATTTAATTTTAAAATTAGGTATTGCGATGAATTTTTAAAAAATGTCCTTTAACAAAATTTAACATGTTTAATGAAATAATATACAATATCATCAAGAAATTTTTTATATAAATTTTAAGAAAATAATTCTGAACATTTAAAGTTAAATCTTAAGACACTGAAACAGTTTAAAATTTTCCTTTTAATCACAAAGAAATAGACTTTGCCGGTTGATCTGTTTTGCTCCACATATGAACTAGTCAGAAACTTTCTGGGTAATGATCACATGACTGAATCTGGTTTCTTAAGAAGGGATCAAGAATACTCTTTATGGGTTAAAATTTTTTAAAAGTCAGTAGAAAGAAGAACTTTTGATGTGACACTAAAGTCATCAGACATTCCCTATATACTCTTCAGAACCTAATAACGCAGATTTTTCCCCTAAATCTGTCTAATTATAAGTCCTCTGAATAGGAAAGTTTTTGATTTCAGCCACACACAATAAAAATATCTCTACTCTCTATTGAAGTGATAGTTCAGTAGAGAGTGTCTACTGGCTTAATATGGATGGAAAACAAGCAAAAGAATTTCTGCTTTTCTGCGGCTTTCTCTCTGTACCCCCACTCCACACTTTATTATTCTGTTTCTCTTTTTCATGCTCCCAGCTTGAAGGGAATAATAAAACAGGGAAGGCTAAAGCCATGGCCATTTCTAACACAAGCAAAAGAATTTTTGCTTTTCGGTGACTAACCCTCTTTCACCCACTCACTATTATGTTTTGTCTTGCATGCTCCCTATTAAAGTACAAAGAGGATAGTGAAAATTATCAATAATTAATTTTATATTTCACAAAATTATTTATCCTGGAAAAAATGTAAGGTGTGTGTTGCATACATGGACCCTTCACCCTTGCTATATATATATATATATATATATATTTATATATATGTGTGTGTGTCTTTTTTTTTCAATGGATTAGTAAGATGAATGAAAAACACACTTACCATTGTTGGTGGAGATTGTAAGAAGTACATGTGCCTGAAATAATAAGAGAAGTTAGTGTATTAAATACAAGACTAATTAATTGGTGAATGAGACAAATACAAAAGTGAATGCTTAGGTAAAAAAAGAAACAAACTTTTTCTTCTGATGTAGACCAATGCTTTTATGTCTACAAAATGGGATTGCCACAATCACAATATTTTACAATCATGGATTTAGTCACTTTCAGTGTATTTTAGCTTTGCATTATATCAAAGATTAAATATCTTAGCAAACCTGATTATATGTTATTGCCTACACTGTAGATTTTTGATAACACAATCTGAACATTTTATATTTATCATACAAAATGAAATTAAATAAATTTTTATCTATTATGAACTTGAAATGATTAAAACTAAAATAAATAGACATAATATGTCTAAATTATTTAACCAAACAGTCTTGGATGAAAATTTGCTGCTTAAATACACACACACACACACACACACACACATATATTCCTTACCACACACAAAAAAATGGATATTGCCCCTGAAGGACTTAGATTAAAGAACAATTTCCAATTCTCCATAAACATGTGACTTAGATCCAAGTCTCAACAGATCTACAACTCTGCCTCTTCCCAACTATGCAATCTCGCTCTTAAAGCATCCTACTCTAGACAACAGATGCTTTCCTATCTTTGTAAGAGAACTGCTCCTATTCTACATGATTCACTAGAATTCAAACACTCCTCCAAAGTGTTTCATGCCCTACAAATCATATACAACAAACATCTTAAATTATGCTTGACACAGAAATACAACAAAATATGCAATTTAATTAACAATGACCAGTTCCTGAAATCTCTCAATTACACACAGAACTTTATCCAGGCTAACCAATCTCTTTGTCTTCTACATTGGCATATCGAATATGACACCCATACAACTCCGCAAACTAACTACATCAACTTATCCAACTACAAACCAACAACTGAAGAGCAAACCGTATTATCAAAAGGACTTTCTTTTTACCTATCCAAAAATCTCAACCCTGTAGATTTATGTTACAACTTAGAAAACTTTCTCTGCAACATCAAATTAAGGGAACAACAACCACAAACCTTCTACCACCCATGACAAGAAAATACACCACACAAGTCTACACATTGGAGTCCACCCAACAAATGCAACTACCACATTGATTTGTATAAAAAAAAGTGCCAGGACCCACCTAGACAAATTCATACTAAGCAATCTCCATCTAAACCACAGCCACAACATCACCAGACAGGAACGGACAGCCATAAAACCCCTCCAAGCTAACAAAGACATAATTATAAAACAAGCCGACAAGGGTGGTTCAATCATTATCATGGACAATAGTAAATATATTACAGAAATGGAGTCCCAGCTCAATGATCCATGTTTTTATAAAAAGAAAATTCTCCCTAGATCCCATTGAAGGTTTTACATCTGAACTCCACTCTCTAATCAGGCATCTAGTCCATAGCATAGAGGTACCAATCAAGGCTTTAATCCCTGATAGACCCAAACCTGGCACATTCTACAGCCTCTCCAAATTACACAAACTCCTTAAAATAATCAAAGACACAACCACCAACCTCTCTATAGAGGACATCAACAATGACCCACATAAGATGCATGAGCTGATAGAATCTCTTAAGATCCATCCACCCAGGCAGCCTATGGTTTCTAGTATAGGAACCCTGACACAACACATTTCTGGTTACATTGACCAAATCCTCAAAACTCTATTACACTCTATTCCTAGCTGCATTAAAGACACAGCCCATTTCCAAAGAATTCTGAGTAATATAGTTAACCGGACAATGCACTACTTGTAACCTTGGATGTGTAATCCTTATATTCTAACATTGCACATGAGGTGGGTATACGAGCATGCAAAAATCTTTTAAGCACCTGAGACTTCCATGAGCACTGTATACTAGATATTTTGAACATTATATATTTCATACTCGCACATAACAACTTCCAGTTCAATGAGCACCATTTTCTTCAAGTTAGAGGCATAGCAATAGGAACGAAAATGGCCCCCAGCTATGCTAACATTTTCATGAATGCCCTTGAACAAGATATGTTTAGTAGATATCACCTGGCACCCCTACACTACCACAGGTAGATAGACGACATTTTCTTCATATGGACATATGGTGAGAACAATCTCCCAGATCTTAAAAAACATCTCAATAATTTTCACCACACCATCAAATTCACTATGGAATATTCTACCATTTTCATTCCGTTTCTGGATCCACTGGTATGTCTCAATAACAACCATATCTCCACTACACTATACACCAAGCCTACTGATGGTCATTGCTATCTTAAATTTAAAAAAAATCTATAATCTACAGCCAATGCTTACACATTAAATACATCTGTTCTCACAAGGAAGATTACAGCTTACACATAGGATAACTACAATCACTTTCTTAATAGGAATGAGCTCCCCAACTTTTTCAGACTTTTAACATCATCAAAAATCTGCAACACATCTCCTCACCAAGGGAATGTCACCTGCAACAAACCCCAGTGCCTGGTCTACAAACACATCATCACTCACAACATTTACCCCCCCTGTACTCACATAGCATTCAGACCACCCGCTTTAAGCTGTGACAGTTCCAATCTTGTATATTTACTTTTCTGTCACAAATGCAAGAAGGGGAGTTATATGGGAGAAACTGGAACAGAGTTCCGTTTATAGTTCAACAACCGCAAGAAAAACATCAGGGACAACAACAACAGCAATTTCCTGGTCTCTGTATACTTCAACCAACCTGGTCATAGCATCAACTATGTCGAGTGCATGCTATTAGTGTCTGTGTTCGTTAGCCGGGAGGATGTACACAAAGTGGAGTTGAAGTATATATCCTAAAAGCAAATTCCCACATAAAGGGACTAAAAAGAGATTTAGGTTTACTCAGAGAATATAATTTCCACAAGGAAACCCATTATCAGCAACACCGTTTGTTGGATGAGTAGGCCCTCCACCCACATTTTAACTCCAAATTTTAACAGCCATCACCTACCTACTATATTTTTATGTTCTGCCATCTATGATTTCCCTCATTACACACTATTCTGTAATGGAAATATTGTCATATATATTGACAGCTACTTTCCAGTCACCCTCTTTTATACCATCTTTGGTTCTATAACTATAGTTCCTTTACTTATAAGCTTATGTAAGGAGTATGAAAGATTAGTGTAGATACGTATTAATCTTGTATATGTATTCATATTTTTATGTGTATTGAGACTCATAAGTTTGTGTGGTGGTTTGTGTATATTTACACACTGCTATGTGCATTTATGTACATATGCGCATATATAAATGTATACCTTTTTTCCTTTCTTTTTTTTTTCTGCATCCCCCCCTCCATTTTTTTTAAGCATAGCCCATTCCAAAGTTTAATCATTTTGTTTGTTCCTTCCGTTTTCTTTATTTTATTTCTTTTAATTATATTTTATTGATATATATTCCCTTGTTCCGCCTTCCTTTTTTGTCTTTTTCAGATGCTTTTTCAGAAATGAACAAGTTATCTTAACTACAGCATGTTTTTCTGAAATTGACAATTTTCGGCTATACTGGCTACATGCGAGACATCTGCCCCACATTGCAAACTATAACTCTCTTCATCTACGTTTACAATCTTACTCCCCTTACTACTAATAATAGACAGGCCTAATGCTCTTACACCGATCAAAATTTTAGATGTAAGTTTATTTTCATAAAAAGTTTCACAAACTGAGGAATCAGACAGAGATTGGATTTTTGCTAATAATATGATTTCCACCAGAAAATACACTGTCGACAAAAACATCTGTCTACAAAAACATCTGTTAGTGAGTAATTCCCATTTCTCTTTTTTTCTCGCTCCATTGATAAAGGACACAGGTGTGTCCAAAAATTCTGAACTTAAAACCTTTTTTTTCCATGCTTCATTTTTTGTATCATTAATAATTAATATTTAATAATATTTGTCATATGGTTAATAATTAATATTTAATAAATGTTGTTTGGTACCCTTCCCTTTGTCTTTATTTTATTAACCAATCTATCTATTTTACATATAATATATATATATATATATATATATATATATATATATACAAACATATTACATTTATGTCAGCAAATATGGATACAATGTTTTGCAAAATTTTCCAAAGGAAGGTAGTAGCCAATTTTAACATCTAATTTCTTTGTTTTTTTTTTTAGAAAGACAGAAAGTTAATTTGCTTTTGGAATTTTAATGTTTGAAAATGAAATAATTGGAAGTAGTCAAAAATGCTGTTTCTTTAGATATCTTATAATAAGTTCTGCAAGAGCAATAATAAAAATGAATTCTTTAGCAGTTTTCATATTAACAATTTTTTCACTCAAAGAAAATCAAACAAAGCAAAATTTCTAATTCGGAATAAATACAAGAGAGAAATGTTAGAAACAATTGTAAATCCCACTTTATGTACTTACAGGAGATTCCTGTGTTTCTGGCTGAACGCTCAATTCTGTCTCGACTTGTGTGTTGACCTGAATAAATTGGGGGCAAGAATTAGAAGAGAAACATGAATAAGTGGCAACCCAGAGACATATGAACAAGAAATGGACATTATAAGCAGTACCCTAAAACATAAAACTACCCTGGGTACATGGCAGCAGCTCCAACAAACTGGGATAGAAGGGTACAAGAGGATAACAACATTCAGAGAACAGCTTCGGTCTGTCTACTCTATGTAAAGAAATTAAGATCTGTGGTCCTTATAACATCAGTATGACATTCAAAAGTAGTTTGACATTTTGCAGGCAAGCAAAATAATTTGGTCGGCTGTTTCTAATGAAAATTTTTAAGTTGGATAACCTAAAACATTCTGTTTACTGACATGTTTTTGATGAAATAATTATATTCAGTCAATGTGTTTCTGAACAAATTAAAGAGATGTCTTCTGAATTTTGATTGATTGATTTGCAGGTTAATTAAAGCTACAAAATATTTTTAGATCATAAGAATTTTTAGAGATAATTATGATTTTTACTGATACAAGTTATACTAACTAACCCATACTGAGGGGGGGAAGACTTTGATTCCTACCTTTCCCAAGGGTATTTGCACATAAGTGAATCTAACAAACCCAACTGGAATTGGAATTTGACTCTCTGATTTCCAATTCCTAGCATGTTATCCATTACACCACCCATATATCCAAGCTTACAGCACCTGGTATTCCCAAGCAGTCACGCATCTAAATACTGACCAGGCTCAACATTGCTTAACTTTAGGGATCATATGAGAACCGTTGTTTCAACGTGATATGGCTGTAAGTCATGTCTTCTGAGATGGCAGTGATTACATGTTGTAACCTAGGAAAAGGTTACCGAATAAGAATAACCAAAACGAAGGTTAGAAATAAACAATAATATTTATAACAGAACAACATACAACTGCTAAAGGTGAATCGCAAGGGAATCCCACAGTGAATCAACATACAGTATATTCCACTGTATTTACAAGGATTGGGACATACTCATTATAGTCCATATGTATGGTATAACATTACATTCACTTCATTTTAATTTAGCTACTTAGGTCTGTCTTTTTTTTTTTTCAAAATGGTTTTCATTTTCATTAAAGTAGCATGAAAACTTACTGGAATCAAGGAACCAGGCTTATCAAATTCTTCAGTGAGTGGTTTTTGAGATTGTGACAAGTTGTCTTGATAATTCTTCAGCTCCATCAAGAGTGTCTACATTGCAAAGAGACAAAAGACAATGAGTAAGAAAGGGATAACAGATAGAATCTTCTGACACATTAATATTTATATGGAATATATACAATTCTTGTATTTACAAGCATATATTGAACAAGACTGTTTTTTGTTATAAACACATGAAAAGATAAACTTTTTAATATTCCTGCAAGTTAAGAAAAGTCATTCAAAAGAGATATTTAACAGTCTTCAGTATCAATTATCTACACTTGTGGATCGCCTGGTTTTCAATTAGTGAAGCAAGAAAATGACAGCAACAAAGTAATCCTATTGGTGCTTCCATAAAAAGTACAAGCGTTCAAATTAATAGCTGATATAAATAAGTAACAATAAAGAGTTAGTGTTCAGCAAAATGTTGGTTAATGATTATCATTGTCTGGATTTGTATAATGCAGAAACATTTTTAATTGACAATAAAGAGGCACAAAGTCATTGCAAGGGTTCAGTGAATAAAAATGATTAGTTACTTACAGAGTTTGGCTTCAAATTTTGAGCAAGTGTTTTAGGAGTTGGACTAAGTGGTGGTTGGATAGATGTTTAAGAGAAGATACCAAAACACTTACAGTAGAGAAATTCAATTTTGAGAAACTCTGGAAGGTTTAACAATCATACTGTAAATGTGATTCAGTATTTGATACTTGGGTCAAGTCAAGGTAAAGTGGCAGATGAGCTACTGACACCAAGATGGCAGGTGAGCCAGCTGAGATAAATGACTAAAAAGATGACTGATATGTAAGCTGAGGAACTGATCAGATGATGAAGGTAAAGCAAGAAACTGACATGATTAATGTTCAGAAAAACATGAATCAGCATCATGTCTGGAGAGAGCACGAAATATGTCAGATTTATCAAAAAGTAATGTGCAATGAAAAGTTTTGTCATACAAAGGAAAGGCCAATTCAAGTGCTGATGGCTGTTGAATTTTAACAGAGTGTGGCATGAGTAGTCATGGTCAAATGCAAAATAAATAAAAGCATTGGCAAATTATTTACATTATTTACATTGTTCAGACTGTTGTCCTCATTTTTATTGCCATATTCATGATGTTTTGACTGTTGAATCAGGTGATTGGAATTTTGAACTGAACCCTTTATTTCATCCACCAGGGTAGATTGTTCTAGTTCCACATGCCATGCCTCTTCCAGATGTCTCAGTTATCTCCCTTTAACTCAACTCTCCAGGTTTTTGTTCACCACTGCAGTTAATGTAACCATTTTTTTTTACTAGAGCTCATATTGCAATTTTGTTGTTATTATTTTTTTCTCTAGCATTCCATATTAGTAGTTCCCACATTGTATTCATTTCTATGCTTGGCTGGCTGAGGAGTTTTTTTTGCCTAGCATATGTGTTGATTCCTTCAATTTTCATATTTTCTAGTGATGTTCTCTGTCTATTATTTCAACCTCATCCCACAGTGGGTGGTGATCGCTCTTTCCCTCCATATGTGGTCAGCTATGCCTGATTTTTCTATTTCTCCTTGTGTTACAGCATTATGATATTCTTGAAGTCTTACCTTAAGGGGGCAGCCTGTTTCTCCTTTATATTTCTTATTGCAGTTGCACGGGATGGTGTACACACAGTCCTTAATCATGTTCTCCTCTAGTGGGGGGGGGTCTTACTTGAAAGAGGTGTTTGCAAAATGTCAAACCACTTTTGAAGGTCATCCTGATGTTATATGGACCACAGATCTTTTGTATTTTCTTTAATAATCTCTTCACATAGATTAGACAGACTGAAGCTGTTCTCTGAATGTTGTTATCCTCTTGTACCCTTTTATCCCAGTTTGTTGGAACTGCTGCCATGTACCCAGGGTAGTTTTATGTTTTAGGGTACTGCTTATAATGTCCATTTCTTGTTCATATGTCTCTGGGTTGCCACTTATGACTTTTACTCAATGTTGTAGATAGCAGACGATTTCCTTCTTCACACTGTATGGGTGATGGGAGTTGAAGTTGAAGTATTGTTCGGTAAATGTTGTCTTGCGGTATATGGATGTCTTTAACCCATGGTTTGTTCGAGATATTAGTACATCCAGGAATGCGAGTTTATTGTCGTTTTCTCTTACCATTGTGAACTGCATTGATGATCTTATTGAATTCACATGACCTAGTGGTAGCTGGACCTCTTCCTGTTGTGGTCAGAGTATGAAGGTGTCATCTATGTATCTCAGCCATAGAGTTGGCTTCAGTGATGTGGATTCTAATGCCATCTGTGCCACCATCAACAGAAAATTTTATTGGCTTGGAAAAAATCTCAGCATCTTTTGTGTGCTTCTGCTTATAAATTGGGGAGGGGCAAGTGTTTTACAGTCATTCCTATGGGGATTAAAAATAAGAGAAAGACAATAAACAAATTCCACAACTATGCATGGTATCAATAATTCCTTCAGAAACACTTTGCCTGACTTTCTTGTCACTCATTAATTATTTTTTTTTTTTTTAAGAGAAGACAGTTGACTTGCATGTCTTGGCTTGGAAGGGATGTTTTTTTTTTGTCTGCATTTGTCATTACTACAGGAGTACAATTTGATTTAGAGAATGTTGCTTGGCCACAGAAAAAATTCTGTGTCAGGGCAAGATTGGGGCCTGATGAATATTGAAGAATGATAAAACTTTGCAGGAATCAACTAGCTTCTTGTTTTCCTATTACCCATTCTGGTCATGAAGTGGAGAATCTCAACTCCTCTGTCAAATGATAAACAAAATTGCCATTGCAAGAAGAAAGAATATTGTAGTCAATTATTGATCAAGAAAAAGAGGCGAAGAAAAGTAATTTCAATCAATAGACAAGAATATTTTTGTAAAAACCACTGACCTGTTTCTTTTGGGTAAGTTCCCGAATCATTTCTTGTTCAACATTGATATCCATCAAAGTCTGACCCTTTTGAGGAGTTAAGGAGTTATAGCCTCGCACTGAAAGGCAAATACAACCAATTAACAGATGAAAAATGCTTTACAGATACACAACATTTTTTTTTTTAATGTTTTTTCACTTTTCTTTTTATTCAAACTGCTAAATATGAATTGATTTGTTGTGTAGGAACCTACCACCCCTCTTGAAGATGAACTCGTCTACAAACAAGGACGTTAACTAGTGGCATGAAAAAAGACAGTGTTGAAGAAGTTCTGGGCTGAGTTAGTTATAGACTACTCAGGCGATATCTGTACCAACTTACCAACCGAATAAACCCCATTTTATTGTTACATGTTATTTGGCGTTTGTCTTTATTAACCCCAAATTAACATCATAACAGTGGCGACGAGAGATTCATTCATCACGCTGAGTGGAGAATTTTCAACTCTAGGTGGACTATATAATTTTTTTTTTTCTCGCACTGAAAGAAAAAAAAAAAAAAAACAATACGTTGAACTTTGTTCTTCAAGAAGAAATAGGATTTCAACATGCCAAAAAGAAGTAAGACTTGTGCTTATTGTTGGATATATATGTGTTTTTCTCCTTTTTGACTGTTTTCGAAAAGTGTTTTGTGTAATCTATTACGCATAATGGAAGATTTGATTGCATTAACGAAAACTCTAGTGCAAAACCAAATTCAGCAACAAGAGCAACAAAGATTGCAACAAGAGCAACAAAAATTGTTTCGGGAACAACTATTGGATTTACAAGTTCAGCAGCGAAATGACACAAAAGCTTTATTTGAAGCAATGTTACTAAAGAATCCAGTAAATTCGTCATTCACGGCCGAAGGTATTGCTAATTCTATTACCGAGTTCAAATTTAACCCAGATGAGGGTATAACATTTCCTGCGTATTTCAGAAGATTTGAAACAATATTTGAAAAAAAAATGTGAAGGTTGGACTGATGAACAAAAAGTGAGTTTACATTTACAAAGTTGGGTACAGATGAAAATAATAAGTATACGAATTTTGTCCTTCCAAGAAAAACTAGTGACATTTCTTTCGAAGAAACTGTTAATACTTTATCTAGTATTTTTGGCGAGTGAGTTAGTTTGTTTCATACTCATTTCTCGTGTTTGAATATGGTAAAGCGTGACGATGAGGATATTGTTACGTATACTGGAAATGTTAACAGAATGTGTGAACGTTTTATGTTACATGATCTTTCAACGGATCGATTTAAATGTTTGATATTCGTTCAAGGCTTGACTTCTAGCAAAGATAAGGACATAAGGTCCCGAATATTGGCAAAACTTGAACAAAATTCCGAGATTACTTTGCAGAAGGTTACGGAAGAGTGTCAAAGAATTGAAAATTTAAAACATGACAATACGCAAATTGAAGAAAAAGACATATCCCGTGTCCATGCTATTCTTAAAAAAAAAAGGAATAGTTAATAAAACGTTAAAAACCAATGTGCTTTGGATGCGGTGGTGGTCATTTTAAAAGTGAATGTTTTTTTCATGACAAAAATTGCTATCGTTGTGGCAATAAAGGCCATATAAGTATTCATTGTAAAAGCAAAAAAAAAAAAAAAATTAAGTCGAAAAAGATATTGTGAATATTGTGTTGTCACGTCAGGAGATTGAGGAGGGGCAGAAAAGAAAATTCCATTACAAGTAAAAAATTAATGGAAAAATGTTAAACTACAGCTAGATACTGGAAGTGATATTTCCATTATTAATACAGCAACATGGATTAAAATAGGCAGACCTTTGCTTAAAAAAAAGACTAAAAAAAAAGTGGCTCATGGATTTCTGGAAGAAAATTGCATTTTCAAGGTGAATTTTCTTGTAATATTTCATTTGTTGGTAAGACACTAAAGTCTAAAGTGTATGTACTACAAAATGCTTCAAATTTGTTTGGAACAGATTGGATTATACTGTTTAATTTATGGGAACTCCCTATGAATTCTTTTTGTAATAGAGTTAATGTTTCTTCTCGATGTAAAAATCGGGTTACAGAAAATTTTGTGAAAGATCTGAAAATAAAATTTCCACAAGTATTTTCAGAAGGTCTTGGATGTTGCAAAAAGGTGAAGGCAAAATTTGAAGTGAAGGAAAATGTAAAACCTATTTTCAAGCGAAAAAGAAATGTGCCATTTGGTGTTTTGGAACAGACTGACAAGGAATTGGAACGGCTTGAAAATTTAGGAGTTATTTCACGTATTGAATTTTCAGAGTGGGCCTGCCCTGTTGTATATGTTAAGAAAAAAAATAATAAAATTCAGATGTGTGCCGATTTTTCTACGGGTCTAAATGATTGCTTAAAAGACCACACATATCCTTTGCCTTTCACCAGAAGACATTTTTGCAAATTTAAGTGGAGGAAAAATATTCGCTAAATTGGATTTATCAGATGCCTATCTCCAAGTCAAAAATGGACGCACAAAAGACATTTGAACCAATTAAGGAAAATCATCGAAGAAATAAGTGAAGAAAAGGAAGAACCAATGGAGGTATTATATGATTTATTTGATATACCGACTCCACCATTGCCTGAAACAGTTGTTCAAAGTAAGGACAAGCAAAAGAAAAAGAACGAGGGTGGAACGTTTAAGTCCAGATCCCAAAAGAAAAAAATATTAATTCCTCCGGAATTAATCTCAAGGGGGAGGTGTTGTGTAGGAACCTACCACCCCTCTTGAAGATGAACTCGTCTACAAACAAGAACGTTAACTAGTGGCATGAAAAAAGACAGTGTTGAAGAAGTTCTGGGCTGAGTTAGTTATAGACTACTCAGGCAATATCTGTACCAACTTACCAACCGAATAAACCCCATTTTATCGTTACATGTTATTTGGCGTTTGTCTTTATTAACCCCAAATTAACATCATAACATGATTAATAACTGATTTCAGTCAAGGATGAGAATAGCTACAATAATTGTTTACTATTAATACTGTTTATACAGTAAGGTGATTTATTCACATACTTTCTTCTCTTTTCTGTTAAAACAATCACAGTATCATGTCAAAGTCATTTTTGCCAAGATAAATCATGATAGGACAGAATAAAGGGATAGGTATATATATATATATATATAGATAGATAGGTATATATGCATTTCTCAAGTGTTAAATGAACAAAAGCAGACTGAGCTGAAATTTGATCCAGGTTTCCATTTTTCATGCTGATAGCCATTACACTCCCTTCTACTTCTGGTTTCCATACCAATCTTAGAAACGATAATAGTTTCTTTTTGTTTTGTAATAGAAACCAATTTATTTAGTGTAAAGAAAAACTTGCAAGTACCATCATTTAAAAAGAAACAAGAAAAATATTATCCTTTACTCACAACCAAATTTATATATATATATATATATATATATATATATATATATATATACACACACACACACACACATTAAAATGGAAGAATGCCAACCACTTATGCTACTATGGTTTCCACCAATAAGGTTTCATCAGGCAGTAAAGGTTAATTGTACATTTGAACGTCTCTCATATATATTTGTACATTCTTAACAGGAAGTACGATTAAAGGGGCAGGGACAAAGCAAGAGCGGATGGACTTTGAAGAAAAAAAATAGTACACATACTTTATCTGTGCTCATACAAACCCAAAATGTATTTTTTAGTATGCTTGCTACATGACATTACTTTCAATCTTTCATTTAAGAGTTAATTTTGATCTGGATATGACATGATTTCTAATTTTTCCTCCTGGCATAATTAGCACATAGTATCACCAACTTTGTAAGGTTTGACATTCTTCAAAAATAAACTCATTGATAACTCTCTCCTCCAATTTGCAGACCCTAGTTACTATATTCTTAATACTTGATATAATGCAAAAATATCACAATGATAAAATCGATCAATAATTATTTATAACTTTTTATACAGGGACTCATGCATGCAATTAAAAGTAATCCATAATAATATTTTAGATTTTGAAATCATATTTATTTTTGGCATATGAATTTTTTGAAACTGTTTCTAAATCTTTGATTTTCTTTCAATCATTCTGCCTCACCTGCTATTGTTTTCTGTTGCATTTATGATGTGCAATGTTTGGTAACCATTGCTTTAAAGTAATGTTATGCTTCTACTGCTCACTCCATGCTGTTAGTGTGAATATCAAATGTAGAATCATTCACAAAAAAATTGAAGAATGCAATAAATAAGACTGTCAATTGTGAGGAGGATTCCTTCAAGAAAATGAGTGAGAATCCTAAGATGGTGTTCAAATCCAATGCTGAAAGGAATCAGTGTTTGTCTGAAGAGAAAATCCAGACAAACTGGTAACATGTGTCACTTTAGTCCATTTTACTGAGATAGTTTATTGCTGTTGTCCATGAAATAGCGAGACATTATTTTCTACATTTGGCATTTACAAAAGAATAAAAAAGAAAAGAAGAAAGCTACCTTCTCCTTCAACAGAACAACAGATGAGTTGGTCATTCCCAGGCTGTGTGTAGGCTCCCTGGAAATAAGAGGGGTTTGTATCGAGTTAAAAAACTTCAAAAGTCATGATAATTACCAATTTAAAAGATGATATAAACCAGAATTTATTTATAATTACTGTTTTAAACTGATTAAAAGTCTATTTGCATTACACAATCTATAAATTACAATGTAAAATGACAATGCATTATATATTATTTCCTTTTGGTTTCACAATGAGTAATGATAGCTGGCATTTTGCAGACTAAATCCTTTTCCTTTGCTCCAATGTGTTATGCTGTCAGATATTAGCAAATATTATCCTATGGTAATTAGTAAAATTGTCTCACCTGTTTCAATCCCCTTTGAGTCTCAAGAGAGGCACTTCTGGCCAAGTGTGTGGGCTTCCCCGTTGTACAGAGTTGTCCACTAAAATCAAATTCATATGAATGGCTTCATCAAACTCTCTTTGACTTTGCTTTCTTTCACCCTTCAGCAAGTCCAGCAGCGATGGTCCCATAGGTGATGGGGACAGGCTTGATTAGCTGGAGGCCCTTAGTCCGCGCCTACATGTTGGTGGTGTGTTCGTGATGTTCATATCCCAGTCATGTCCACCACCTGTACATGAGGCTTCAGGAGTAGGCTGGGCCTTCACAGCCATCTGTGCCACCATCACCAAGGGAGGATGAAAAGTTTAGTAAGAGAGCATGATGATCCCGACGCTTAGATGCAAACAGGTGCCAACAATTAAATTTGTCATAATTAATGCAATTCAATAAGTTTAAACATTTTGGTATTTATTCCATATACCATATGTAGGCATTATGGCAAAAAGGTAACGACAATAGCAAAGTGATTAAATAATTGTGGGTTCCAGGTTCATTGACGGATTAAATAGACAGGACAGAGAAGTTAGAGTTCAGATTGAGTAATTGGATAGCTGAATTTGAATTCTAGTCGAGTTCATTACATTCACTTATATGCTAATACCCTTGGGAAAGGTATGAATGCAACTCTTCCCCCCCCAGCTATGGGTAAATAGTAGGACAGACTTGGGTGGCAACCAGTTTAGGAGAAAGAAAAGTTTGAATTCAAAAACTGTATGTAACCCTAGCAAAGCCCATAGCTAAAGGAAAGGATTGTTCGCTTTGACTCAATGATCCTGACTATGGTTGGCTCCTTTACATAGCATTGGACATCATGGCTAGTAATAATAATAACAAGAGTTTTGTTAGGCGTGGAAAGATAATATTTTTTATCAAGAACTTAAAGAGGCTCATAGGCTACATGACAGTGACAAAAAATGGTAATAAATGGTTTTTAAGAAGAGGACATTATAGAAAATTCTATATGCAATAAAACTTTGTAAGAATTTCTCATGGAAATAGTAGTAATAAATATGAAGTTCAAATAAGAAGTAAGTAGTAGCAAGAAGTAAGAATTTATTGCAATAAATATTAACGAAAGATTACCACTTTCAGGAAGAAAATAACTTTATTTAAATAACTAATTTATTTATAAGAACCATTAGCAAAACAATTGCTTATTCTTTTCTATAAATACTTTCATGGTAATTGTTCTGATGAGCTTTACTTTTTCTTACCTAGACCTTATGAATTTAAATGCAGTACTTGATTGACAGCCAGGTCTCATCAATTTACAATTGAAATGGCTGCTAGATATAACTGTAGGTTCTATGCTAACAGTTTCTTCTATTGCACATCTCACTTGTGGAACTCTCTTCTGGATTCTTCCTTCCAAGTCAACTTTGATCTTCAAAAATATAAATGTTGTTATCTTCTGTCATCTTAATTCTTGTTCTTTTACTGTCCTTTCTCATTAATAGTAGTTTTTCTTATATTCTCTAACACTCAGTAACCTCTTGCTTCCTTATTGCCTTGTATGGGGTGACATGATTAAAAAAATAAAGATCACAAAATACCTGATTACAAATGATAAAAATTTAATTTTTAAAACTGAATATGCAAATTAGTTATCTCTATTAAGCAGGAGCTGCTAAGTTGGGCAGGATATAAGACACAAACTGGTTTTACATAATATTTACACTCACACACACACACACAAAAAAAAAAAATCAATATTTTATTTTATTTAATTAATTGAATATATTAAAATAATTAATCTTAACTTTTAGGATTTCAAACTAACAAAAAAACGAACTTTAAGCTTTATATTTTAGATGAGATCTAAGGAAAAACCTACCGTATTTGACGGCATATAAGATGCACAGACATATAAGAAACACCCCAATTTCAGCAGGGCAAATCAAGAAAAAATTAGTAAAATTAGTAAACCTACATATGGCATATAAGATGCGGGAGAATTTTGAAAGATATTTTTATTAAAAAAAATGTGCGCCTTATATGCCGTCAAATAAAGTAATTAAAAAGCCATAAATTCTTTTCCTTTGGTTTTTAACTGACATTAATGACAATGAATATAGCAACTATTTATTGCTTTTACTTGGGTAAGAAATTACACAGTGAACTTTGCATGTACTCATCACATTATTTGGGGCTAAGGTGATTGGTAATGGGACGGAATGCAACCATTAATAAGTCATTAAATATACATATATGTATTTCAAAATAGAAACTAGACTCATTAACTGAATTGAAATAGTGTTTAGTCATTTCTACTAATTCAATCAAATGTTTTAAATCTTATCAATCATGAAAAAAAACAAAGGCTTCATTGAGCTAAATAATTATCAGACAGAGATGAGAAATTTGAGAAAAGACATTATTAACATAGAACTCACAGTTACATCTACCTATTTCAACAGTAAAACAGTAGCTAATCTAGTGTACGCTTAAATTCACGTGGTTGAGGTACCAAGGTGAAGAGCTCATTAGAGCAACTGCCATGAAAATATTGATAGGAAAGACAGAGGGAAGCCATGTCACTGTGGTTGGAAAGTGACTGAAGTTGAGATGCCAAGTCAGAATTGATAGAATTACAGACTCTTCTTTGGATTTTGAGAATCTCAAGATATATTACAGTAGCACCAGACCAGATATGGCAGTAATATTTAATGAACAAACAAATGGGAGATTTATAAGTGTGCAAAATGGATTCCAATGAGAAAAAAAATTGTCTGGTACAGCACGACACTGTGAACCAATCATTTTAGCAGCAGACCTAGCAATTGATTCAATATAATCACTCCACTTCATATCAGTAGAAAACCTGAGACCAAGAAGGCACAATTAGTTGTTTCTCCTGGAGGTTAGTATCAGCTATGCTGATGGAGGGAAAAATGGTTCTCTATGATGATAAAAGGATAGAAGTTTCATTTTAGAGATGATAAAATTTACAAGCCATTTCTTGTCCCAGTTAACAACTGATTGGAGGTTGTTTTCAAGAGCAGCTGCCAGTTTTACTTATTTTAATTGTATAACTCATTTGAGTTATTTCATGTTACCTGAACAATGCCAGCCACAGAACTGTTAAAATTGTCTCTGAATATAACCTCTCCACTGGATTCATTTCTGACATCAATCTGAAATGGAAATTAGATGTATACATTCACATGCTGTCTTCACATACTGATAATATAATTTACAGTTGGACTAAAGTCCTCATCTTTGTTGTTGTTATCACAACATTTTGGCTATTGTGCTCTCCGACCGTCTTCAGGTGTCTTTCGATTTGGATATTCTTCAAGAAAATTCAAACTGAAACCTTTATTTAATCTACAGGAGTAGATTGTCCTTGTTCTGCTATATCTGCTCCCATAAATAAAAGGTTCAATTTAAAATCAGATCAGTTAAATAAAGGGTTCAGTTTGAAATTGCTTGAAGTTTACTTGGATCGACAGACACTAGAAGGATGGGGAGAACAAAATACCGAGCCAAAATACTGTGATAACAACAACAAAGATGAGGACTGAATGCAAATAATGATAACTTTTCATCCTAGAAATTCAGAGATTTGTTTGTCATGCTCACTTATTGTACTACCTTTGATAGGTTCCCTTAAATAAATAATAATAAATCATAATAAAACTTCTGCAAATTACAATAGAGAACAATTTAGATAGATTACTAAAAAAATGACTATCCAGGTACCAATTACATTGTATAGTAAATGATAAAAGAAATTAAGTCACAAAGAGTGAGGTCGGCCATCAATGAATGACAGACTGTTAATTCTGCTCATGCAAAATTTTCTTTCCTTGCATTTTGTTTTAGATTAAGTAGTTGTATCTATTCTTCCCATTTTAAATGTTCCACTATTTAAATCCTGTCATGAGTCATGAAGTAACTTCAAAGCCCAAAGCTTATCTACTGAAATCAATAAATGAGTTGATTAATTTCCTTTTACTTATAACAATTATATTTCATTCTACACAGGAAGAGAGTCAGGAAATGAGATTTTCTTGTATACAGTCTGAGTGAAGTCATTATGCAAATCGCATAAACCTCAATAACTCAAATTTGCTTCAAACAATTTTTGAAACTTTACTAAAACATGCTGAAACTACTTAAAAATCCAACGCAAGCTTTGTTTTGATGTCTAAATTAATTGTTTAAAATTTGACAAAAATTGTTCAAAGCAAATTCAAATTATTGGAGTTTATGTGATTTACATAACTTCAGATGTGGTCAAAGGGATTATGTTCTGAAATAAGCACAAAAAACACACAAAAGCAAAAAAGGTAAAAATTAAAGAACATACCTTGCCATTACTCCAGCCAGTAATAAGTTCAGGGACACCGTCATTGTTCAAATCAAAACTGTGGATGGACACTGCATGGCTCTTGGACTACAGATGAAATAAAAATGAAACTTAATAAAATAATTTAGAGATGAATAACTGACTATCTGTCTATATTTCTGAGATGAGGTATCGTAATTATTTACACTATTTACATTGTTCAGACTGTTGTCCTCATCTTTATAGTTATATTCAAAATGTTTTGGCTGTTGTATACTCCGGCCTTCTTCAGGTGATATACGTTAGAATTTTGAACTGAACCCTTTCTTTCATCAAGAGGGAGGTAGATTGTTCTAGTTCCACATGCCATGCCTTTTCTGGATATCTCAGTTTCAGTTATTTTTCTTTAGTAATTCATCTCTCCAAGATTTTGTTCACAATTTACAACTCTTTGGGTCCCCAAGAACACATGGCCCAGTAGATAAAAGCGTTGGTTGAAGTAATCAAGTGACTTAACCCAAAGAGTTGTATGTTCAATACCTGACTACAGCAGAGGTGAACAAAATCTTGGAGAGTTAGTTACTAAAGTGAATTAACTGAAACTGAGATATCCAGAAAAAGCATGGAACTAGAACAATCTACCCCCAGTGGACTAAATAAAGGGTTCGATTCAAAATTCCAACATATATGACCTGAAGTTGGCCGGAACATACAACAGCCGAAACATCATGAATATGACAATAAAGATGAAGACAATAGTTCAAACAATGTAAATAGTGTAAATAACTGAATATCTGTTGATATTTTTCTACAGACCTTGATTCTCCAGGATCTGGAAGCTCTCTCATAGACCCCAATAGTTCCATTTCCTAGAGCATATCCAAATTTGCATTCATCAATTGGATGGAGGCAAGTAATGGTCTAGAAAGGGAAACAAAACAAAAAAGCAAAATTTATTTACAATGGAATATATATGGTGCGATGGGTAAATTGTCGCCATTTTTATATTTTAATTTTGCATATGCATAGTGTTCATTTTTGATTTCATCAACTGCACACTATAGTAGGGTGAGTTGAGCACCGTCTATGAGAAAAAGAGCACCATGATGCAATTCCCTCTGCCAGAAATTTGGAAATGACATACTGTACTGCTTGGCGTTTGTGCCAGAAGCTCCAATATGAACATTTCAGAGTATTTAGGTGTCAATCTGAGGATAATGCAGAGGATTCAGAAAGAGTTGGATGAGTCTAATGGTGATTATGAAAGTTTTTAGAGTGATCATTAGTGATGGCGACATTATGCCTCCATTCATTTTCCCACAGGTCCTCAGACTCAACATGGAGGTCTACATCAAGTGACTTGAAGAGATAGTGCTGCCTTGGGTCAAGAGGGTGGCTGCTAGAAGACCATATCTCTAGCAACAGGACGCTACACCATGTCACACAAGTAGGAGAAGCCAGTCATGGGCGTCAGACAATTTCTGTGACCACATCACCCCTCAACATCTGGCCACCTAACTCCCCAGACTGCAACCCACTTGACTATTATGTGTGGGATGCAGTTGAATGAGAAACCAACAAAACTTCAAGCAACACCAAAGATGAACTGAAGTCAATGATTATGTCAGCATTCACCAACTTAAACAAGGAGACCATCCAGAAGAGTTGCAGAAGATTCCAAAGTCATCTGGATGCTGTGGTTAAAGTCAATGGCAATTTTATTGAATAAACTTACTCTTTAGTATTTCTAGCCATTTTTGCATAATTTTGGTAAATATATCTGTTAAATGATATGTCAATGTTATTTTCATTTTTGAGTAATTTAGACGACAATTTATCCATCGCACCCATGTGTGTGTGTGTGTGTGTGTGTGTATATATATATATATATATATATGAATGAACTATGCATTTAATTCATTTTGATTTTATTGCATATTAACAAAGACTAAGAATAGTCAATTTAATTTTTGATATGTAAATGTTCAAGTTTAGTCCCAAAACCTCAATTTCTATTTCTATTATTTACCCATTATCCAAGTTTCCCCACATAAAAATTGGGTGTCTAATACTAATACTACACACACACACACATCCACGGTGTGTATGTGGGGGGGGGGGTGAGACAGAAAGAATGTTACATATGCACCCCACCTTGCTTCTGAAGACTTATGATGAACAGGCTACTGCTGATTGCAGTTGGCCTTGTGATGGTTGAGTGAAAGAGTTTACTGCTCACCCCCACAGGAGAAAGGGATGGAGAAAGAAAGAGTTAAGAAACCTTTGCATGCCCAAAGGAATAAAACATCATCATCAAACAAACTCAAATACAATTTAACAGCAATGGTGACAATCAAATGAAAGAGAAAAGGAGTTCTAAGTTCTAGATCTAGGTATGTATGGATGCATGTAGTTGTGAGTGTGTGTATAAAATATGTAGGTGTGAACATATGTATGTGTGTGTATGCACATATATTTATGGATATAAATAACTCAGAAAGTTCCTTTTTAGGCTGACATAGACAAGTTTTGGGGCAAATATTTTATCTTGTTAGTTAAGCTTTCTTTGGTGCGGTATGAGTAAGTGAATGCATTCAGTGCACCAGATGTGTGTGCCTGTTGGGTGTGCTCCCTGAGTGTGACTTTTAGTTTGTCTTTATACAGGCTGGAGATTTTTTTTTATTTTGCTCCATTGGTTGAGGAGGTCATCTGGTTACTACTATGTTGGTGCAAGTCAACACCAAGTCTGGTCTTACATGTTGATAAAGTGTAGTTGTGGATTATGTAGGGACACAAAAAGTGATTATCTCCTTTTGGTTGAGATGAAGTCACATGATGGCTGCTTAGTGACATCACTTCATAGAGTGACAAAAGTTGCTAGTTCAACAGTCACCTTCCAGGAGTCAAACTGAGCACTTGCTTTTTTAGCTCTAGCTCTGGCTGAGGATAATTCTGCCACCCTGCAGCCAGCTGCTATGTGAGCAGCTTACAAGACTATGGCACAGTTTTCTTTTCAAATATATCTTCTCCAGATATAAAAACTATCTCTGGCTCACAGTCCTCATGTTGGAAAAAAAACCATGATTCACCATTTCTTGTTTGAGAGGAATATGTCTTCGCTAGTGACATAACAAATAAATTTGGCTTGCTTGAATCTGGAATCCTAAATATGGCTTCTCCAGAAACACAGAAGAATCTTTGGCAGCTCCAATTCTTGTTGGGAATTATTATAAGACCTTAATTTTTGTTTCCTTTACACACTGCTTGTTATGTAGACATGTGTTATAGTTTCTCTGCATGGGACAAATGTAAATATGTATATATAATTTTGTCTATGACTTAGCAGTATAAAACTGAGAACAAAGCATGTTTGTCATTCCTTTTCCTTTCAGCCTTTCCGTTCTGTCCATGAAATAAGGTGTTGTTATATTATGGATATAATAATGCCCTTAATGGGGGTAATTAAAATGGGAGAATATTCCTTTCTTCTCTAGCTCACCCATTATCTGGTGACTCACTTGACATGTGATATTAACTGGTCACTCCAACTTGACATATTATAAGTACCCCCATTGGACTTGAAAATGTATATATTTATTTTTTGTGTCTTTTCAAGGTCCCAACACTTACCTCAGTCTCAGTCATTTCAGCTATGATTTCATCCTCTCGAAAGACTCTGATATCAAAATCCTCAGAACCAACAATCAACTGCAAAAGATCAGAAAATGTGCCCTTTCTTCTTTACTATAGTGATCATTATAATAATAAAAATGTCCTTACCAAAAAACAAATGCTATGTAAAAAAAGGAAAAAATAGCAGATTTCAAGGTGTTTAGAATATAGGCTAAGAGATTCGATTACCTTTGAAAATATGGTTTTCATTAAACATTCACATGAACAATCACATCAAGTTAAACATGACTCATTTTTGTTGGTCAGCTTCCTTCTAGGAAGGGTTTTGATAAAAAAAAGCAAACTTTATTTACATTCATACTAATGTTGTTGTTGTTAACATGATTTTTCAGGAAACATTGTGGCAATAACAACAAAAATGAGGACATTAGTCCAAATAATGATAACTCATCAATCCAGATATTCAGACCAGGAAACTGTCACCATACTTTTCTGCAGTTCTTTTGTATTTCTAAATGCTTGCAAATAAGGCAGAATAGATGTTTTTCTTGCTGGTTTTTTCTACCTTTAATGGAAGCCTAAGTAAGGAACAACATGTCAGAGATTTATAGTATCAGGCTACTCAAAAAGTTAATTAATCTTACTTATTATAAAACGCAGGTTGTGTGTGTGTGTGTCTGTAATGTTTATATGTTGGATCGAATTTCCTACATTTTTTAGCCGATTTCAACAAAACTTCACAGGACTACATAAAATTACCTTGTGGTGGTTCTAACAGGGCTGAAAATGGGAAAAATACAGTTGTTTTTTTTAATAAAATCAATTTGAAAACACGATTAAGACACATCATGAGAATGAAAGGGGGAGAACTCACCCACGAAAATGTAAACGAAAGAGCATAGCATGATGAAAAAGACGCCGAACTTGACGAAAACAAAATTTTATCGTCTAATGTTCATATTATTATTAAAGAGGAAAGATCAAAGTATTTTGGGGGTATTTTTTTACATTTTTTAATCGTTCGTAGCATGTCTGAAATTTTTGTTAAAAATATTGTTTTTTTTTTGGTCAAAAAAAAGGGCAGTAATCAATTTCAATCATTTTTTTCGATTTGATAAAAAAGATTAAAATCTTACTTTGATATTCTTTTAAAAGTCAATTATCATTTTTTCAAAACTGATTTTAATAAAAACAGATATTATACTGTTTATTTAAAATATTTTGAACCAAGCTTAACTTAGCTTCTGCGCCGAAAAAATGTAATTTGAAAATAAAACAAAGCAGGTTATAACCTTTCGCGTTGCTTGACGATTGATGAAAGGCACATTCATGACGTTTAGATAACTTACGGGAGGAGAATTCTTTCTACGGATGGAAGGAAGTGAAATTATTTAAGTGAACAAATTATTTACCTTGTTACTTTTTAAGGAAAACTTTCAGCGCTCTAATTTTTATTTTTTATTTATTTTTTTTTTTTTTGTACTTAGCTTTCATTTTTACGTTTACGATGCTTTATGGAAAATATAAAGAAATTAAAAAATAAGACTGTTAATAGTGAGATTAAATTTCATAAGAAAAAGGTATCTAATTAATTTAGGTACCTTTCTCATGAAATTTTATCAGAAGTGTACATAAAATACTATAATTTTATGTACATTTATTACATTTTACTGTGTTATTTGTGTTTCCATTCATTTTATTATTAATTTTGATATTTCATTTATGGAAAAATGTCATAACTGAGATTAATATAAAAATAAGATCATATAAATTAAAGTTTAGCAGTAGTTAAATTTCATAAGATGATACTGTTACTTGTAGGTACCCTTCTCAGTTGAAATTGAAAACTCAAATTAACTTCTCCATACGTGTTGTGCAAAAGTAAAGGAATTAACAGTGGAGAACAATGCTGAACTCAAATAATGCAACTAAATTGTATTCTGGTTGGTCTTCCGTACTTGATAATTACTGTCCGACTATAAACACAAAAATTACATTTCTTAATTACCATGGCTAATCTGATTGGTCCAAATTATACAATTTTCAAAGCGCTAGACAATGACAATCTCACACGGACATTTTGAAAGGTTGATGTTGCTTTTAACTAATGTTAAAATATTTTTTAAAATTCAATTTAAACATTTTTTAAAAATCTTTTAAAATTAAAGAAATAAGAAATAATTGTATTAAAAATTCAATTTTCATTAAAAAATTTTTTGCTTTCAGAAAATATTGTCCATATTCATAAAAACAAATTAAAACAAATAAAAGCATTTGAAACTAAATAATATATTTGTTTTATTGAGTTTTGTATGTTACAATTCACAGCTGATTTTCAGGTATGTTGGCCAAAAAAAAAAAAAAAAAAAAAAAAAGAACATGATTTACATTCTTCAAAGCCTTGTGCTTTTTAACTATTGTAATCACTAAAACCGATGGTCTCGAATTTCTAGAGTTTTTCATAAAATTAGTTATGGGGGTGTTAATAAATAAAAAAAATATTTCTGCCATGACTTTAATAAAAAAAAAAATATTTATAATAATTTCGATCATCTGTGAATAGTTTCTGAAAGTTTCATTAACATCTGACAATTATTTTTATTTTTGCAAGATTTTCCAAATTAATGTGTGTAAATACAAAAAATGCGCTTAAAAATTATCTATGTTATTTACTACCCCTTGTTGCGACAAAAAGAGAAACAAGGTTTTTAAATCAAAATTTAGAATATTCTAAAAAGATGGAAAAATTTTTTAAAATAATTAAAAAAATTTAGTCTATCCTCTTCATAAAAAATAAGCATTTTGACGATAAAATTTTGTTTTCATAAACTTTGGCGTCTTTTTTTTCATCAGACTATGCTCTATGTTTTTAGCGATTCCGTGGAGTGACTTAGGTTAAAAAACCCAGGTTGTTTATGTGTGTGTGTGTGTTTGTGTGTGTTCCTTTATATATGGGATCGGATTTCTTATATTTTTCAGCCGATAAAACAAACATCCACTTTTTTTTTTTTTTCGGCAGGTAGTATTTCTTATTGTCTTGCACACTTTTTTCTTTTATTTACATTCAGAATGCTTTAAAAATTCCATTTACAAGACAATTGTTTATAATAAAATTCTATTCACCAATCGATAGACTCATAACGATTGTAAACAATGTTTTTGTTTGAATTTGGGTTTGACCAATTCGTAAAAAAAAAAAAAAAATAATTAAGACATCAACCTTAAACAATAATCTTTGTCAATTTTATTTTTCAGTCTTTTTGATGGTCGATACTTGATCTATCTCTTACTGTTACATCCCCGGGCAACGCCGGGCTCTACTGCTAGTCTGAATTATATGCACAACTCAACATTTTCTTTTAACTCTAATTCAGTTAGGATTATTAAAATTTATGATAGAACTCATTTCTGGTTCTCTTTACAATTCAAAGAGGACTTAAGAAAATAAAATTGAAGAAATTTACAAATAAAAAAAATCTTTGAAACATTTATAGTTGAATTCTTAAGTCTTTTGCTGGTAAGCTTCAATTCCTGGTGTAGAATCCTACAGTTAATGGTAAAAGGTAAAGTTTAACAAAACAAAATCAGTAACCATTGTTAAAAAATGAAGTCTTCATATTTCTTTAGTAGATGATGTAATATGTTGTAAGTGCATCTATCAGAAAGACAAAAGAGAATTAATGATTTTCCAATCAGATTAATTTCTATTACAAAATCAAGAAACCACTCATAGTTTTATATGAAGGTATGCTGAAAATTTCTTGGCCCAACATATTTTTCAATATCAGCATTCTGATATTTAGTTATTAAAATACTGATTTTAGGAAGTGGGGCTAGACTAAGAACTTTTCAGCAACCCATTGTATATGCTGCACTGATTTTTGTGTTTCTTAGATTTTAATATTCTAGATTCATTACAGAAAGTTTAATAGATAATATAACATGGCATGTAGTATTAAGATGATATAACACAGCATGTAGTATTAAGATGATATAACACAGCATGTAGTATTAAGATGATATAACACAGCATGTAGTACTAAGAAAGGACGTTAGTCAAGGAAGAAAACAGTGTAACTAGAAAGAAAGATTTATATTTCAAAACAAAACTATATAAAATAAAAAAACAAAAATGTTAAAAAAGACAAAAGCACTATTATGGAAAAAATATCAGGAAAATAATGGTTAATTGTGGCATGAAATGTTTCCAATGAAACAAAAGAAAATTGGTCTTGTAAAATTCCATATTTCTAGGCATATAAAAAATTCTGAGAAGAGACAAGTCAGTTAGGATTTCACTCTCCTAATTCATGTGTGGCATTTACTCAGGTTATTTACATGTCTGCATGTGCTGGTGGTGTAATGGTTACAGGCTAAGGATGAGAAATTGATGAACACCAATTTTGAATTCCATTCAAGATCGTTATATTAACTTTCACATATTCATCTATGAAAATCATCTATTCTGCCCTCAGATATGATTTAAATAGTAGAGCAGACTGGATTCCGTAACTGTGGCTGGCAGCCATTACAGAAGAAAGGCAACTCAGAATTTGAAACTGTATGTGTGCCTAGTGGGGTGTACCTAAGTTCCATTTAGGGATTATAAGTGATTATGGCTCTTTACAACTTTCTAGATTTATCTTTATCCCTCAAGGGTTTTACAAACTGCTTCCAAACATTGCAAAAGTGTGTTCTGTTTCTAAATAGACACCAATCCCAGCAATACAAGAAAATAGTTTGGCCAAGAAAGCTTCTGAATATTTGAAAATTAATAAAATAAAATAAAAAGTAAAAAGGAGATAATTTTTGAAAGTTACTTTTGCTCCCAAATCCTAAGTTTTAATCAAACTCATCCAGAAAATAAAGAATAAAAAAAGTTGTGAAATTATTCACTGGTAAATTCCTTTGACTGAGAACCTGAATCTGATCACCATTTTGGTAGACACTGATACATTTGCATGTCTTTCAGTCTACCAACTGGTATGTCTACTTAAGTTTATATCTTTATCAGCCTATGACTTAAGCTGACCCTTGTAATTTCAGTATAAACTGCAGGATGGCTGTGTGGGAGTTGAAAAAACATGAATGGGCTGGAGCAGATGGGCAAGCATGGAAATGAGAAGCCATGCTGAAGATGAGAAATCACGCTGATTTACAATGTGCCTTGTTGAAACAGCTCTGATAATGATTCACAAGTCTTTTTTAAAGTTGCACTTCTTTTATAAGATAACTAGCCTGGCAGAGATTTGAATGAATGTAGTATTTGCATCTTTGCATTCCCGAGAATATTACTGGTTATGCAATGCATAATCTTACTTTTAGACATTAATCAGGATTACATATTCAGTAAGTGAATCATCAATTTTAGTCCATATTTTTTTATAAGAGTTTGGCAATATAAAGCCTTGAAAAATGGAGATTGATTTGCTTTTTTACAGCATATCAACCTCTTAAAGGTTATTTAAATCCAGAATATACTTTTAGATTGTAAAAATTTTTGGAGATAATAATGATTTATTGATACAAATTCTACTAATTAACCCATAGCTGGGAGGAGAAAAGGTGGATTTATACCTTGCACAAGTGTATTTGCATGTAAGTGAATATAACAAACCCGACTGGAATTGAAAGTCGGTGCTCTGATTTTCAATTCCAAGCCGTTATTCTTTACACCACCCACACATCCAAGCTTATAGTTCCTGGTATTTCCAAGAGATCATCCATCGAGGTACTGACCAAGTTTGACATTGCTTAACTTCAGTGATCGTACGAGAACTGGTGTTTCAATGTGATATGGCAGTAAGCCTTTGAAAAGTGTAATATTTGTTGACAAACAAAAGAGAAAACAATCTTCATCAAATGCTTGAGATAAAAGATGATAAAAATGACAAAATCTTTTTCAACATCCTCTGTTTTTTTTTTGTTTTACTCTGTATCAAAGCAGAGATGAAGACGGCTATGTTTTTATATTTGTATTCACAGCCATGCATCTTTGCAGATTTGCAGTCATTAAAGGATTCATCATAACAAATAATGTAAGCAAAAACCAATTTGAAAGATTTGTGAAAAGTCTCAATGTACATTGTAAATGAAAAGATGAGACTTAACGTTACATTTGAAAATGTAACAATTGCCATCAGCCAGTGTATTTTTCTGGAGCCCTCATCCAAATGGGAATACTACATTCCTGTGTGTGCAATGTCGGAGACTGTTTACTCTCTTCTCTGGGGTTTACTCTTTCCCACTGATGTTCAGTAAGATGCAGATTTGCACTTGATGACCAGAAGGTCATACCCCAGGCCAACACACTAATGCTCCTGGATCTTCTGACATCACGCAGAATGCAAATATTCTGCCATGATCTGGAGGTGAAACACATTTAAGCAAAAAGTGTTCTATCACTATGTCCATGGAAAGTGCTCAAACAAACTACATTCCTTGGTTCTGCCAGGTTTAACCTACATGGCTAGGACCTGCCATGCTACTTAAATTGTAGCAAACCACACACATTTCCTCTGTATTCCATCGAGGAGAAGTAACTTCCACTCAAACAGCGTCTTCTTGCAAACTCCTCTGTGGAACAGACTCCCAAGAGGATGTTTCCCTGATCATTTCAATCTTAACCTATTCAAGTCTAGAGGTAACCGTTATCTTCCCCTCCTATCCATATAAACTGTCCCTTAACACAACCCTCTACCTTGTTGCCCCCAGGGCCTTGTACAGGGTAAACCTTACTGTAAAAAAATAAATAAATATAATATTTTTGGGCACTTCAACATGGTGTAATAGTTTGCAAGTTTGTCTTTAACCATTCTAGCAACTGGTCAGAGTTTGTTCTTCTCTTTATCAACTTTTATTTGGAGGGAAAAGTAAAGAATGTTCAGTGGTAGAACTGAACAAGCAGACTAAATGTAAACATCTGTTATTCTCTTTAATCTGCCCACATGTATGTCAGATCAGATCAAATAAATGATGAGTAGTAATAAGTGTTTGACTTTTTATTTTATTTTCTCTGAACAAAACAGATTGTGGAGAGATTGAAAAAAATGAAACAGCAATACTCACCTCTTTGTGGCCATCTTTATCAAAGTCTACTAAGGCAAGTGAACGGACATTGTCCCCAGTGACCTGTTATTGCAAAACCAAAAAAAAAAAAAAAGAAAAGAGAGATAGCATTATAACACAGGTCCTTTCTACTGTGTGAGGTATAAGAACAACAAATTCATAGTTGGTTAGCAGAGAGAAGAGTGTGGTCCTCAGAGCATTGGAATATTTGGGTCAGCATAATTAAGCATAGAATTTTAATTATTATAGATAGTTGACACTTGATAACATTTCTCTTCATGGGGACCATTTGAAATAGGCTGATTGTAGACGGACTGACACGAGGCTATTAGGGTTGACATACTTCATAAAAGAATAAACTTAAACTGAACAAAAAGACAAGTGGTGAAGATGAAAAAGTAGAAAAGACCAGAAAGAAACCCAGAAAATCTAGGAAGTGCAAAGACTAAAAAGAAGGCAAAGAAAAAGAATTTTAAAGAAAGAAATAGTAAGAAGGCAAAGAAAGAAATAAGAAAAAATAAACTCACCGTCCAGAATTGATCATTGCCTTCACAATCAAATCCTTGTATAGAACAGTTCCCACCTACAATAGCAAGTTGGTCTTGGAAAGAACCAAGGGTTCCAAAAGTTATGGCATTAGCACCATCTGGGGTCTAAAAATGAAAAAAAGAAAGTTGTAATGGCGTGGCAATAGAAAAATAAAAATTTCACTATTTCAAAAAAGAACATAAAAGTTTGATTTGCTATAAAGAAATAAAAACAAAAGGGAAAGAAAAAAAAGAAAAAGAAATAAAAGAGGCCAAAAGATCATCAATTCCTAAATATAGGTGAATAAAAGGGATTGTCAAATGAGTCACATCTGTGAACCAATCAGAAAGCAAGAGACAATTCTGAAATAAATTCCTTTGTCTTGGAATGTAGGTGGGGGAGTGTATAAATGCAGAAACAATCAAACACAGGCACCAGAGTGTGGTCAAAAGAAATTAGTGACTCTGTCGTGGGACACAATTTCAGATTGGTCCTTTCATCCCTCTATACCAGTTTCTTGGTATTTATCATTGTTCTCTGCTTTGTATCTGCTTTGTTCATTCATTCGTTCTATCACAACTGCACGTATGGTACGATGTACCCTGATAGAACTCACTCTCTTCTTCAAGATGGTCTACTTATATTTGCAAGTTGCCAATCACTTACTTGGATCATAAATGTACTATACATCTGGGCACCTCAGAATAGAGCACCGACACACCAAGATGTCCCTCCTAGATTCTGTCCAACTACGTTAATATTATGTAAAGTTGTTAATGACCCAATTTCTTGTTGGACAACAAAGAAAGGTCTCGTTTGATGGAAATGATGCACTCGCCTTCTCTCAAATTGAAGTCCTACATACCAGACAAAGACGAACTCTCTTTTGTCAAGAATAAGGCAAGTCTTGTTCACTATTTCTGCCATTTGACTCGGGTTCTGGTTCACTATGACTGCTACATAGAGAGTCAATGAAATAATCTTGTTTGTTCTCCAATGCCATATTTTACCTGGATCTTTAAATCAACAGTGAGTCAAGATTAATACTGTTATAGACAAGCGTACAGTTGCAAGAAAGAAATACGACAACAGCAGAAATAGATTTACGTGGTTTATTTCAACAGGAACATGTGGGTTTGGGACAGCTACCTTGTGGTAAAGTTCATAAGCTGGCTTCGGATCTAGGTCGATATCTCATAGTAGTTCACACATGTTGGTGCTCTCCTGCTGACAGCTGCTGAATGCTCGGCCTGACCATGACAGGTCTCCTTTGTGACCACCTGCTGACTGACTGTTGAACTTCCGTGTGACCCCTTTTATAGCGGTTTTTTTATGGCTTAACAGGCTCGAAAAACAAAGCGAGTATAATTAGGAGGGAAGCATTTTTATTGGATGAAAAATAGAGCACTTTAAATATTATTTTATTTTTCAACCGGAACACGTGTGTCGGGAACATTTGTAAAGAAAGATAATGGTCATTTTGTGACAGGGCTTTGTACCGTTTACATCCGGTTCTCGCTCTTGAGTATTTGCCTGTAAATCAGCCGAGATATGTCTTATTTTATTTTATAACAATACTACCAAATGAATACATACACACATACATATTAACATTACAACTCTCTTTACTCTCTCTTTCTCTTAAGCATGTGCTGAAGGACATAGATGTTCAACATGTGAACTTTCTCGTATGAACTAATGACTCTTTAAATTTTGTATGTTTAATGTACATGAAATTTTATCATTGCATGTAAAATATATATTTGTTTATACTAATTATCTTTTCATTAATTTTTAATAAGCCAAAAATTAGTGTATATTGGGATAAGGACGTTACCTGAAGAAAATCACCTGTAAACTTTCAAAACACAAATTAAATCCATATCATATATCCCTCACAATGACCACTAATTTTTGGCAACTGAGATTTGAATTAAAGACAAAACATTTTTCTTTCTCTCTCTTTCTAAGGCTGGTTATCAGGTAAAAGTTTTAGGTAAGAACTCACTCAATTTGATTTCAACGTCTAAAGCATCAAGTAGACTCAAGTCATAAATCTTGTTTCTCTACAATTATTTGATGGAAAGCATCTAGTGAACAAAATAAACTTACCATTATTACAAGAGGAAAACTTAAATTATAAATAAAAATTTCCAGCTAACTTGGATTTTCATGCCTACAACAAAAAAAACAGAGTGTCAAAATGACAGTTTTTTCCATTGACATCACTATTATTTTAATTACCTTCATTCCTTGGCAATGTTTATTGTTTTAAAAAGCAATGATCAGAATTTTAAACCTAAACATATGTCAGTGAATTTATACAATTTCTTTGTTCATGAGAATTTACAACAAAAATAATAGACACTATTAGAATGTTTATTTATACTGTTTATTATATTGTTTATTGGAATGTTTGGCAAAACATTGACTAATTGCCAATTGATTCAAATTTTATAAAATGGTAAATAGTAAGGATTTCCTTATAGTTGGTTAAGATATTTGAATAATTTAGTAAATGTCTATAAATTTGTGAATAAAAAATTGTTTCCATATTTATTTCTTTATAAATTGGTAAATGATAAATATTGCATTACATTTATTACTTCTAATTGTATTAGTCTTTACAATGTTGTAAATATGAAATTATTCTTGTAAATAAATAATCTAATAAATAGTGTTTAATATTTTTGTTGTGAATTTTCAAAAACAAAAAAATGTATATAATTTCATATGTTTAGGTTTTATTACAATTCTAATCATTGCTTTTTAAAATAATAAATATTGCTGAGGAAAGAAGTTAGTTAAAATAATAGCAATGTCAATGGAAAAACAGTCCTTTCAATAGTCCATTTTTTGTGGCTATGAAGGTCCAAGTTTGCCAAATTTTCTTTGCTAACTGAAAAAAGAACTCAATGAATCCCTGCTACTTACTTCTCGATAGAAAAGATCCATGTTTTGTGCTATATCATAGGCAATCAAGTTGGTGTCTGTGCCAACCATTAAAACATCATAGTCTAGTGAGGGATTAAGGTTACCAGCACAAATGGAAGAAACTTTCTGATTAATGTTTAACAGAGAGACATCTCCACCAACATTTGCTGACTGTGGTCTGCAAGACTCGCTGAGTTTATGTGGTGTGTGGATGAACACCTGCAGAAGAAAATGAAATAAAACTCTATAGAAATTTCATTGTACATATAGGCAATTTATCTGAATAAATACATACATATATATATATATATATATATATATATATATATATATATATATATATAAAAAAAAGCAAGAAAAAACTTTAAAGATCCATTTTGGTTATAATTTATTTCATGAATATTTTTATATTCATCTCTTCAGACCGAAAGTTTTTAATAAGTGGAAACAATTTTTTTCTTGATTTATTATTATAATGCTCTGTAATTTAAATTTACATTGAGCTCTCTTTGGATTAATACCAGTCACAAATTGGCACTAATATATATATATATATATATATATATAAAACCAAGAATAGGGTTGGTGTAGATGGAATAAAATTCTAATAACCAAAAACACTATTCTTAAAAGAGTGCTCGATACAGAGTAGAGCAAATAGTATTTATTCAGAAATTATAACAAACATTATAACATCACTATAAAAATAGCCATTTTGTTTCAACACTTCTGGTGTCTTGTCTAGTGGTGGTATTGAACAATTTTTACATGTGTGGGTGAAAATAGGTCATTGACTCTTTTCCTTTTTTCTGCCGTATTTCAGAGAGTTCAAAGTTGCTTTTAATGTCTGGATAGTATCCAGCCAAATCATCACAGTATCACCAAATCAAGAAGGAGAACGTGTACTTTTCATAGAATACATAATCTTTGCTCAGATGCATGCAAGTTTGATCAAGAACAGTTGCCAATTTCACTTTATTTCTTTTTCATTTTCACTCTTTCTGAAAGTACTGCCTCCTCATTCAGAGTATTTCTAAAATATAAACAGTAGTGTTGATTTTAGAATAAAATTAAATGAGGGTCTGTAACAATATATATATATATATATATATATATATATATATATATTAGAATTCCTAGTAGGTTACCTGGATTGATATACACCTGATGAAGGCTGGAGAGCACAACAGCCGAAACGTGATAACAACAACAAAGGACAATAGTCCAAATGTAAATAGTGTAAATAATAATTCTTCATCACACAAATTCAGATGGACGGAAACTGTCTTTTATAAAATATTTTTTAAGTGAAATCTGGGCATAAAAAGGTTATATTTTACAAAATAAACAAAAAATCATTGTTTTGATTATCAGCATGTTGTGGATTTGAATCAAACCACAACAAAGAAAAAAGCAAGAAAGGTAGTTTAAATATAAAACATATTTATTTTTGTGTTTTTACAACTAAATTTTTTTCAGCATGCATGAGTGTTAAAGTTCTTGTGCTAAAGGTCCTTGTTTGCAGTTGTTTGTTAAGATGAAAAGAAATGTGATTTCTTCATGTGTATGTGTGAGAAAAAGAGGCAAGGAGGAAAGTGTAAGTGTCATGTAGCTTCATGAAGACGATGGGTGAATGAGTAAGGGAATCTCTTTTAAGCCATCATGATCATTTGTCATCTGTTGCGGTTCCTTACTGATTGTTTGCTTAAATACTCTTCAAAGGGACCACAAAACATGTTTTTTATTGTCGGCAAGAAATTTGTTAATTGGAAGGATGCGCAAATCCTCTGACTTAGAAACCATCTTTTTATCACTTCATGTTTGGCTTTCTTGTTGTTTATTTCTACCTTCGCTCCACAGTAGCATTGAACACTGCTAGAAGCAGAGATGGAATTATTGAGTTGGCAGCTGCTGTCAGGAATTGGAAATGTGTTTCTTAAAAGCTGATGCTGCAAAAACAACTCAAAAAAAGAGTTTTAGTAAAAAGATTTGTTTCAAGTTTTTTGTCCTTGTTTTTAATGAGAGGATAGGCAGACTCACCTTGTCTCCATTTGTAGCACAAGTCAAAGCAGGGTAATCGCCAAAGTATTTGCCAATTGTAACCATACATGGCTTTATTTTAAGACTGAGTTTCAAAGAGAAGATGGGCATTAACATGGCTCAAAGAAGCTGCAAAGAAGAATGAAACATTTATCAAGAGATGTAAACATTGTCAAAAACAGAATCAAATTTGGAAAGTTCCATATAAAAATGAATTTGTCTTTGCAGATCCCCCAGAAATAGCTGCACAGATTTTAATTCTAAAATATAGCAATATCCTTGTCTGTCTATAATAAATAAATTACTTTGAATAATTTAATAAAATTAAGGATAAAGCAAAGTAAAAAATTGTATAAGACACCATTAATAAAAGCTGATATTCAGAGAAGAATTGCTTTGTGGTAACTATTATCTCTAAACATTAGAATAACATATATATATATATATATATATATATATATATATATATATATATATATATATATATACACCCTGATGAGTGGATGAAATGATTGCTGGTGGGTCTGTCTATGAAACTGGAGTTGGATGCTGAAGATAACACTAAATAGCTAAGTGCCTAACTTTATATTTGTATTGATTCTACATACATGTGTGTGTGTGTGTATGTTTGTAGGATGTATAATAGTATCTAAAACAAATGTGAATATGAGATAAAATGGAACGTTTATTAATGACATGTTTTGCCAAGAGTGTATACTCTCTTTGGCTTCTTCAGGTTAGAATGAAAGAAAGACAAAACTGTATGTGAGGAAAAATGCCTTGAGATCTCTGACGATAATTGGGAACCATAAATCAAATTAAATTACTTTATCACCTCCAACGTTCAGAATCAAGAGTGTTTCAGTCGACCTGTTTGTTTTATCTATATGTATATTACAGCCTTTGGTGTTGTTGGATTTTAAATCAGTCCACTGAAATGAGAGAGTGTTTTTTGTATTTTTATTATATATATATATACTTGCATATACATGTAGATACATACACATTCACCCAAACACACACACACATATATATATATATATATTTATTAGAGCCTTTTTTTCTGTATACTTGTACATACATATGCACTCATACATGCCCACCCATATATACCTGTGCATATACACATACAGATATATGCACATTATAAAGCCATTTTTATGTATATTTGTATGCATATATACATACATACATACAACTATTTATATATATATATATATATATTAGAAATTAATTGATTTAAAATATGATTTTTTTCGCTACACAATTCTAACCATGTTTCAAAAATGGATATATATATATATATATATATATATATATATATATATATATATATATATATATCTGTGCACACACACACACATATGGATATATACATACACAATATATATATGAGTCATTTATTTTTATTTTATTTTATTAATTTGTTTTTTTGTTTGTGAGGTGCACTGTTTCCCTAATATTATGGGTCACATTGGGATGCCTGATTGGTCTGCTTGTTTGCCTACATATATATATATATATATATATATACACACACAAACATATATATTAGAGTTGTTGGGATCTGCAGGTTTTTAAAACAGTCAACTCCAAGTAGATACTTGTTTTTTTCTCTACTAGCTTGTATACCACTTTGTGCTTTTATTGCTTTTGTGATGATTGGAGATATAATGTATGGTTTTAGATTTAGGTTTACTGCTGAGAACGGCTAGATTAGGGCACTCTCAATTCATTTTCATTTCTGTGAATCCTGTTCTCTACTAATCAGATTTGCATTTTCTTAAGTCAAAATGTCAGATGTATTAAACACCTTTAACCAGTAGGCCATTGTCCCACAGTAGGTAAAAGTGTTGGTTTATGACTTTGGTGACAGTAACTGGGAATTCAATCCCTGGGTTAGGCAATGTGTACTTGCACTCAGTGAAAATGGGGTGAGCAATAATTGAACAGTACTAAATAAAATAAGAACTAGATATCCCTAGATAGTGGGATGAGCACAGTCTTCCTCTGTAAATTAAATAAAGGGTTCTGTTTTGAATTCCTTGTAGGTTACCAAGATCAATATACACCAGAGGACCAGAGGGCAAAATGGCTGAAATGTGATAAAAACAACAAAAATGCAGACAATAGTCAAATATAAATTGTGTAAATAATGATAACTTCTCATCCCAGAGATTCAAACAAAAGTTATATATATATATATATATATATATATATATATATATATATATATATATATATATATATATATGTATGAAAATATATTGAAAATAGGAAAGAACCCATTAGGTAAACAAGTGAAGGAATAATATTTTTAAATAAATAAATATATATATATATATATATATATATATATATATATATATATATATATAAATAAAAAATGGTGCATGTGTGCTCTCTTATGTACACTTGATAGGTTGGTGAAGGAAATTTGAAAAATATAAAAGCCAACAAAATGATAAAAATATTGCCAATAAGGTTGATGATATTCATTGTATATTAGCCTTTTGACTAAACTGCGATATGAAGAGAAAGATTTTAAAGTCGGAATTTTTGGACATGCCTGTGTCCTTTTTCAACAAGACAAAGAATAAACAAAGTGGGACTCACTTTTCCATCCAATGTTGTTGTTGTTTAGAGGGCTCCCTGTGGAAACTATATTCTCTGAGTAAATCCAAATCCCTGTTCAATCCTTTAATATGTGATTTTATTTGTGCTTCAATTTAGTCAAAGGCAATAAATATCATCAATCTTATTGCCAACATTTTGATCATTTTGTTCTTTTTATTCCTCAAATTTCATTAACCAGCTTAATAAATCTACACACACACATTATATATATATATATATATATATATATATATATAAAAATTACGGGGTATTTGAATAATCATAATTAATTCATCAAATCTAGAAGAATCTTCAACAGAATGCAGAAAGCACTGGATGGCCATTTTGTCTTATTTTTGGGACTCATCAGCATTGCGCATCCACTACTGGGAATCAAACCTGGAACGTTACATGATGCAAGCATCATATCCATTAGACCAATGTGTCTCGGTGATGGGGAGGTAACGAACCAGACTCAATATAGTGCCAGCTCTTTACAAAACGGTTGTCCAGTCCTTTCTGCATTCTGTTGAGGATTCTTCTAGACTCAATGTATTAATTATGATTATTTAAAGCCCCCTTAATTTATATATATATATATATATATATCACTGCTTGAACCAGCTTCTAATGCTCTGGATGAATCGTCTTGGGAATAGAAGTCGTGACTCATGGGGGCACAATCTGTTGATATAGACTTGGATGAGTCACACGATGGAATTTGAGAAGAGCTGGTGCTATATCAAGTTTGGTTTGTTACCTCTCTGTCACCAAGACACATTGGTCCAGTGGGTATGAGACTTGCATCATATTGTAACATTCTGGGTTCGATTCTTGGTAGTGGATGCGCACTGTTGATAAGTCCCAAAAATAGGATGAAACGGTTATCCAGTATTTTCTGCATTCTGTTGAGGATTCTTCTAAACTCAAAATAATATATATATATATATATATATATATGTATGTACAGACACACACACACACACACACACAGTGGGTGCATATGTGATTGGTTAGGATGTTAGAGTTTTCACCAAGAGACCTGGGTTTGAATATCACAATGGCTAATTCATCAGGGGAGGAAGAAGTGATTCCTGTATGCAGCACCATTGGGAAGTGCCTGAAAATCATATCAGGGTTTGAACGAAGCCTTGCGAGTGAACTTTGGCATACAAAGTTGTTCAGAAGCTGTCAGTGGTTGTGCTAGCATAAGTCACCATGACTGAGGGCTTGAATATATTGGCCTTTTTCAACTACTGATCATGCTAAATTATAGGATCTCTTCCAGAAACTGTAATTAAGATCTGCTCAGTGTAATTGTAGTATAAACTATAGGTTTTAAAGAAACAGAAATGTACCTGTGTGGGCATCTGCAACAGGGATTAGCTAGCCACCCCAGCAAATTCTATAGTATACTGAGATTGATGGATACCTACCATATAAAGACATACATTTTTTTAATTACAATTCTATCATTATTAGGCAGAGAAATAGCAATATAAACTGAGACCAGTTTCAGGCCGATTTGACTTCTTGGGGATGAAGTTCAACTTCTGCAAAGTTGGATTGCAGACGTCATATATTGGTGTAGGAGATGTAGAATCTAAAGTCTACAATTATTTCTACAGTCTGATCTCTTTAATCCAGCACTCTTCGGAGCAAACCACTGCTGGACTACAGAAAATGCTGGATGGCAAAAATCACCTTAAAAAAAAAAAAAAAAAAAAAAACCTTAATGTAAACCTAGTTTTGCCAGCTCATTCCACATATGTAATTGCTGTGTTATCCAAAGTAGAACAAAGTTTAAAACTGGAAATATTACAATCATTAATGCTTCCAAACATGGTTTTTATTGTTTTATGCAATACAAAAGCCTAAAAACAAAAAATAATATATACTATCCTGAATGGGTAAATATACAGTTATATATAAAAATGAGCAAGACTGTAAAAACTAAAGCACTCTGCTGCTGTGGAAAGTTGTTAACTACATGTGATGCTGCCCTACCCCCACAGTTGCTCAATGAACACACATTGTGGCTGATTCAAAAAAAAGCACCATACCAGGGAGCCACTGAACCATGGAGTGCCGGATTAAAGAGGTCAGATTGTACTGATTGAATTTGCCGTGATCATAGGTATATCAGAATACTGGAAAGGTGAAGAGAGGAGGAAGAGAAACATCAACATATCCAAGTAGCATGTATAAGAATCAATTGATCAGCTACTAGAGAGCACATCTGTAACTGACATTGAGAGGCCCCCAACCGATAGGATTTAAAATATCTACCTCCAGTTAAAAAAAAAAAAAAATATTGCATTAAATTTTAAAAATATATTCACCTCATGATTTTCTTTTTTTTTAAAGAAGGGCTTACAGCCTTATCACACTGAAATACTGATTCTCATATGGTCATAGAAGTTAAGCAATAACAATGTCAAGTCTGGTCA